TCATTTTTAGTATATATTTTTTCAAAAATTTATATTTTATTGAAATTTTATTATAATTATTAGTAGACTGATAAAAGATACATTAGTTATTAGAGATATACCACAATTTATGCAATAAATTTTCGTACGTAATTACTATAACTTTCGCTTTACTCACTTGAAAGTTCAAAATTTTCCTTAAAATTATGTTTTCAAAGTAAAATTACTCAAGTCTAAAGGCGACTAAACTAAAAGTTAAGGAACATGTTATATCAAAGCCACATGTCACGTGATGTAATATTTTAAAGTGTTTATACATGAAAATAGCGATTGGTTCCTGGAGGAACCGCCAGGCGTTTAAGGGTTAAGTAAAATAGTGATGACAATGTAATTTCTCGATTATATATTGATAAAAATTGAAATTTTTTATTTGTGAGTCTTTTGTAGTTAGTATGCGATGTAATGTACAGATTCTATGATTTATTAACCCAAGACTTTTTCACTCATAGTTCTTGAATAACCTTTAAACATTTATAGAATTAAACAATTCAGTACTTCTACTTCTTAATGATATACTATATTACAAAATTTATTCATTCATAACAAATTGTATAAAAATTAGCCTCTACACACATATATCATCATACATATATCAAAAATTCATTCGAAAGTATATTTCCTCATCAGTTTAAATTTTGGCCATAAAATTTACTCAAAGTCATATGTCGAATTAGGATCATGAGTCTGCTATCGATGGGAAAGACTGCATCATCTGGTATATTATAATTGTCGCAACAACAATTTGTAGCAATGCATTAACCGAAAAAAGAGACAAACGGAAATTTAGAATTATATTTTTAAAAACATTCATTGCGCTAAACACACGTTCAACTTCTGCAATTGAGTATGGTAATAACTAGAACCTCATGGCGAAATTTGCCAAATTTTCAAAAGGATTCAGACAAACTGAGTCTTTATACATCTAAACTTGAATCCAGAATTCTGAAGTAGATTCAGTATGATGCCACTGAATTAAATGAATATTTCTCCTAATTAACTATCTATGAGTTCAGATAAAAAGCACTAAAAACGGCACTAAGCACTAAGTTGGCTACTGTGGGTTTTATCAGTTGACTGATTTGTGAGCTATATATAGACAAATATGTATACCAGTACGCGCACACATGTGCACGGAAAAGTGGGCGTCATGCAGTGATTAACGATATATTGTAGATATAAAGATATACTCGTATATGTACATACATATAAATGATTCTGTCCGTCTGTGTGTGCAAGCGATAACTTGAGTAAAGATTTACATACATTGATAAAACTTAGAACATGTATTCACTGACACCCAAGGCCGGTCAAAGTGCAGAAAGTATGTTGCTTAAAACCTTTTATAAAGTGGGCGTGGCCATGTCCCTAATAGGCTTAAAGTATCCTCTCAGCATATTCCCATACTATCTGAAAGTGGATGAATTCGGATGATTACCACGTCCAACCCTATATAGCGCTTACGTTAAAATGTATAACCCACTAGATAAATATGTTAGAAGCATCAAATTTTACAACCAAGATGCTGGAATCGGTGTAAAATCACATCTCAGGATTATTTCAACAATCTTAGGGTACATTGCGAAAATGGTCTACTTCGAATATCTATGTACATATATACTATATCACAATTGTAAAGTTCATGTGATTCTTTTTATTTACAATATATAAATTAATCTCCAAAATTACTGTTAAAACCTTGCACATATAGTCTGATATAGTATATAGTGGTATAGCCTGATCTCACCAAAAATAGTCCAATTCGGACCATAATTGGGGACTTAAGTTACCGAATATGTGATCTTCGATGCATCTAGGGTATTTTTACCGAAAATATCGGTAAAGCTGTTAGATATATAATATTGTATTATTGAAATTCAGAGATAATCTTTTCCTGATAATTGTATATTCTTGTGTTAAAAATGGGTGAAATCCGGTCAAAACTTTCCCTAACCTCTATATTCCACTTTAGATAGTATTATTTATCTTAAAACTTACCTAATTAACCCACATAAGATATACATATATATACATATGCGATACAAACTCAACCAAAGAGCATAAATGTTATATAATAAGTACATGAAGAAAAATTCTACCATCCAATTTTATGAAGATAATTCACACATTGATTGCTATATTCGACATATAGTCTGCTTAATAATAATAAATTATAAATATAATGCGTAATTCGTTGGCCGATTTCACACATTTGTGTCATTAAACCAGAGAACGTAAAATAACGAGAAGGGACAAATCAAATTTTATATGATGCTTAATTGAACGGCTAACAAAGCTGAAAAACGCCGGGTAGGAAATTAACCATTTTCTAATTTATTCGCTACTATTTAGCACAAAGATGTAAAATCTCTGCGTAACTTGCGTGAAAAATACTTATTTAATAGGCTTATTAATAGTTAGTCTACCTTCCCTGGTAACGCATCAGTAGTCGAGTATGATCAAAACTGTATTACTCGTTGCAGTTTTCTGGTGTATACTCATTCTCTGATGTTTTCTGTCCACCAGTATGCAGTAGGTTTCCGTTGCTTTGCTTTTAATTTTGGCATAAACTTGTTGTTGTTGTAACGTCTCGGTAACATTTGAAAGAGAACTTTGTACTGAAGTGTAGGTGGCTATTTCTGAGATCAGGCGTGTGGTGGGAAGTTTTAAATTGTTCGATTTTCGTGTGCTGGTTATTCTTCTCTCTTATTCTGGGAAATTATATGTTGATGTTTGGAATGAAATGTATTGATGATCACTTCCGGCGTAGTCATCAAGTACTCTTCATTTTCTTATACTTATACTCACTGTACTGTTCACTTATGATGACGTTATCATAGTGAAATCTTTACATACCGCGCAACCATAATAATAACAAAACTGTAATAGTCTGAGCAACATGTTGCTAGAGTACAAAAATATCGACCAAACGAATATTCCCAAATTTCATGGTGTTTGTCGATAGAAACTTATTAATCCTCAAAATGGAGGAGTAAATATTTAAAAACGCTCATAATTTATGAGGAATTCAGTTGGAAATGGAAGCTTACTTAAATAACCGATCCTTGTACGAATTATTCATCTCAGGCTTGTATAAGGCACATGTCATAAAATTATAACCGAGACTCAAGCGTTTAATATTAATTTCTTCAACAGATTGGCAGTAAATTTGATTATTAAGAGTTTTGGTTATAGGCTGATAAGAACATTGGAGAAAATTTCGCGCAATTTGAAATTTGGTGAAATTTACCTATAACAAAAATTCGTAGTAAAGAATCAGTGTATCCTTAATTACAAAAACTTAATAATTATTTTATGAATGTCAATCTAGTTCATGTCAAAATAGTGGCAAATGTACTCTTCTGCTAAATAATAAGTATTGTAACGAAGCTTTTTTGCTGCCCCTGCTTCTTGAGATTTGCCGAGGTATACTCGCCGTGTCCAGGGTTCGTTAAAATAAATTTGTAAACTGTGGGGCTCTTTTTACAAATCGTATTTTATTAAATTTCCGTACATCTACAATTTCTCCTGCGTTTACTTAACCGTACAAAATGTTGTCTTCCGCGTTGTAGTGGCGTCACCCGATGATAGCGCTATGGCTCGGATGTTTCTGCCGGCGCTCGTGTAGGCTTAGGTGACGATGTGCTGCTGCGTGCGTTGATGCTCGTGGGTGCTACGACGATGACGCTCGGATGTTTCTGCCGGCGCTCGTGTAGGCTTAGTGCCGTTTCACATTGGGATTCAAAAGAGTCTGATGTTTTTCAAATTTTCTTTTGGTGTCGCTCTGGGCATTCACACGGTCAAAAAGAGTCCAGCAACTCGAGTCTAGTTTTTCTGCATTCCTTTTCACAAAATTTTCGTAAATATTTGTGCGGTTCGACTGCGCAACACTGCGTGCTGCGTATTTCATTTGTATGTTGAGATGATGGTCACACATTTTGCTTGCAATGGATTACCATGAATATGGTAGAACAATATGCATAATACAAGTACCTACCCGCTAAATAGTTTCAAAGAAATACTAAAGACGGGAATTTCCTAATCCGCAACATAGTATTGAATATCCGCTACTAATATTTTCAAGGCCAAATTTATAATAGGAATTTCCTAATCTTTAAGTATTAAAAACTCATAATTTCTTTACTCCGTATTAAAAATTCATAATTTCTTTACTCCATAATCTATATCTTAATTTTCTCCTTATTTACAATTTGTCATAATATTTCTATTATTCTATGCATACGTATTTGCATATTACATACAAAAATAGATAACAGAACTCAAATTTGCGATCGAATTCATTTGAAACCGAGCGCTGTTGCAACCATTCAAAGAATTTGAAAGTGAAAAGGAATGCTGAAAAGGGTAGCAGCGAGCTGTTACGAACAAGAACACAAAGCGCCCTTCGTCTTTCCTCGTCGTCCCCTCGCCCACAATAAACTGGTATGAGACTCTTTTGAGTCCCTGTGTGAAACGGCACTTAGACGACGATGTCCTGCTGCATAAGTTGGCACTCGTGGGTGCTACGACGACGACGCCCAGATGTTTCTGCAGGCGCTCGTGTAGGCTTAGACGACGATGTGCTGCTACTCGTGTAAGTTTCGATGGCGATTCTTTCGCAGCTCGTGTATAGCCGTGAAAAATAACACCGGGCCACAGGAGACTGTGTTGGCGACCTAAAGTTAAGGGTTGAGTCGGTCAGAGGATCAACTCACTACCGAGCTCCTCCTTTACGAACTTAAGGCACTAGGACTAGCCAGAGGATCGACTCACTGCTGAGTCTAGTGCCATGCGTCTGATCGCTGTTACAGCCCTGTGCTGACTGACTGATCGGATCGGCTTGCTTGATTTCCGCCAAGCCGTGTGTTGCTTGCTCGCCTGTTTGCAACATGTTGTTTTAGGATGGCGTGTGTTGCTAGGAGTCGCGTGGTTTTGCCGTTGCAGCACAATACTTGTTGTGTTGTTTACGTGGAGTTGTTTAACTGTTGTGTATGAGAACTTGTATACTCGCAGTGTTGTATTTATTTAACAGGGTGCATCGTCATGCGTTGCGTGGGCTAAATTCCGTATGGATATTTAGTTCTCACAGTACCGATCCTCTTACCCGCGAACCATCGGTCCATATTGCGAAATATTTAGAATTATTTGTGGATCCATTATACAACAACGTTCGGGAGTGTTATCTTACCGTCCTAATGATGGGAATTACTTGCCAAATGAACGATGTGCTTGGATAATACGTACCGCTATTCTTAAATAATAAGGGCCATTTTCAGTAGATTTGATTTCGAACCAGCTACTGATTGCCATAAAGATTGGCTTCAGTTACATGATAGCCGTTCCTTAGCTTTACGAATGATTGGACGCTTTTGTGGAAATGCTTTGTCTCTGAGCGGTAATATACAAATTTCGCAAAATGCTTTGTTTTTCTGGCTTAGTTCTGATAATGAAACGACTAATTCTCAATATGGAGGAGTAGATATTAAAAAACACTCATAATTTATTAAGAGTTCAATAATATCAGTATTATTCAAATAACTGCCTCCGGATGTGCTGTCGAAAACGTTTTTGTATATAATATCTAATTCCAAACAAATTGCTATTTTCTTTTTATTAAGGGGAAAACATGCGAAGAGGATGTGGATGAGTGCTATTTGTTTGCGGGTACCGATTTAGGCTGCCAAAATAACGGAGACTGTATCAATACTTTGGGAACTTTTAGGTAATATGTTAAGTTAAAATGATTAGTAATAAAATATATTATATGTTTATGAATATTCTTAATTTAGTTGCTCTTGTCGCAACGGATTTTATGGCGCGCATTGCCGGATTCGTAAGGCAGTTTGTGAGGAATCTGGCAATGAAGAATTATGTGGTCATGGAACATGCGTTTATGCAAACAACGATGCTAGCTACACATGCATCTGTGATCAGGGCTGGACTAAGAATAAAGTAATTCCGGAAGCCGCCTGTGATATAGACATAAACGAATGTGAAAAAGTAACTAATCCCTGCCATAGCGAATGCATCAATTTACCGGGTAGCTTCAAATGTGCTCCATGTCCCATTGGCTACACTGGGAATGGACTAGTTTGCTCAGATATTAATGAATGCTTTACTGATAACGGTGGATGCAGCATTCAGCCGAAAGTTTCATGTATTAATACAGAGGTAACTTTAGTCCACCTTCAATATTTTAAATGTAACTAAATAAAAAATCGTCCAACATTGGAACAAGTTAATGGCCGACTCCACCCAAACCACATTAAGTTTGGGAAAACATATCCCATTAATGTCATTGAGCTATCACATATATTAACCCATAAATATGAATGGTTTAAAGTTAGAAATCATTATATAGAGTATATTGGGGTTAGGGGAACGTCTGAACGCATTGCATTCATTTTTGCCATTCCCGTATATTCGAGTTACGTTCACTTAGCTTTTCTAAGACGTCCAACATTTTCACTGACATATTCTATATAAAGACAAACGGAAGTTTACAAATCATATAATATTCATTAAATATATGGAGCCTTTTTTACCGAGGGACATTATTCGGTCAAAATTGTCTTAGCATAAATATAAATAATACCCCCCTTAGATTTATGTTTCTGGCATGATTGTTATAGAGTTACTGCACTTTTTGTAGGCTTCAGGTATGCCGTTATAGGCTTGTGCAGTGGCTATGGTTATTACCCGATTTATTCAGAGGTAGCAAAAGGAGGTGATGTACAATATTTTCACCAAGCTTTGCAAAGATAACAGTTTCTGAAAGATATTCATGAAACTCTAGGAGCAACTCTCACACTACCCATTTTCAAAATTTTTCTTTCGATATTTATTGTTAACTGTGTTATAACAGATTATCTGGCCACTTAGGAATTGTGTGTATCAACAAATGAATTACAGAATTTGGTTTGAAAACTAGAAATAGTTTTTGATGTTAATTTTATTTAGAAAAATATATAATACAAGTTTACTATTTTTTTAATAGGGATCTTATCACTGCGGTAATTGTCCAGTGGATTGGAAAGGTGATGGAAAAATATGTGAAAACACTGCCCCAGAAAGTTGTGAATCCAAAAACATATGCTATACTGGAGCTAAGTGTGAATATATTTCCAATACAGTTGTCTGTACCTGCCCACCAGGCATGTATGGTCATGGATTTGGGTATGCTGGTTGCAGTTTACAGTCATTAACTGATCCTTGTACAAATCATTCATGTCAGGTTTGTATAAAGACACATATCGTAAAATTATAACCGAGACTCAAGCGCTTAACATTAATTTCTTGAACACATGGACAGTAAATTTGATTATTAAGAAATTTTTGGTTATAGGCTGATAAGAATACTGGTGAAAATCTCGCACAATTTTAAATTTTGTTAAATTTACCAATAACATAAATTCGTAGTACAGATCTTCTGGTGATTCACTCAGTGTATCCTTAATTAAAAAAACTTACTTATTATTTTTTGAATGAATCAGTATTCGCAAAACCCAAATGAACTTTAACTTAAGTCAATTTGTTTTTTTTTTCGCCTTAGTCTCGATTATACTCTGGCAAATTTAACAACACAGAACTTTTTTTAAAGTAGAATAATGCAACTTGTGAAGTAGTGGGAAGCGGTACACTATGCTTTTGTGAACCGGGCTTCATGGGTCCCATATGCGATAAACCCGATGCATGTCAATCTAGTCCATGTCAAAATGGTGGCACATGTACTCTTCTGCTAAATAATAAGTACCGATGTTCCTGCCCACGTGGAACCACCGGTCCATATTGCGAAATAGTAAGAAGTATTTGTGGATCCATAATACAGCAACGTTCGGGAGTGTTATCTTACCCTCCTAATGATGGGAATTACTTGCCAAATGAACGATGTGCCTGGATAATACGTACCAATATTTCTCAAATATTGAATGTCACCTTTAGTAGGTTTGATTTGGAACCAGCTACTGATTGCAACAAAGATTGGCTTCAGTTACATGATGGTCGTTCCTTAGCTTCACGATTGATTGGACGCTTTTGTGGAAGTGCTTTGCCTCTGGGCGGAATAATACAAACTTCGCAAAATGCGCTGTTTTTCTGGTTTAGTTCTGATAATGAAACGACTGGCGCAGGTTTCAATTTAACTTGGAACTCTATGAATTATATTTGCGGAGAAGTGATTAATCTCAAATCAGAAGAAAATGGAATAATACGATCGCCGGGTTATCCAGGGAATACGCCACCTAATCGGGAGTGTGAATGGAAATTGAATGCGCCATACGGATACCGATTCCTTTTACGATTTTTCGAAATTAATTTAGGTAGTACAAGAGATAATATCTGCACCAGAGACAAAGTGCTTGTAAGTATGTACTAGTTATGTTCACTGTCAGAAATATAATTGATTGGGTTATCCCACTGTAGATATATGATTCGGATTTGTTATTAAGATCAGTATGTGAACCATCTCTGGTAGAACCTTTGCACTCTTCTTCTAACGTCATCCAACTACAATTTCATACGGATACTTTCGGAACAGATAGCTCATTTCAGTTGCATTATGAAGTTGTACCGTCTGCACCTAACTGTGGCGGCATATTTACGGAGCCTTCAGGCGTAATTGCCGGCTATATTAACGGCCGCATTTGTTCGTATCTAGTACAACAACCAATTGGTACAAAAATTCAGCTAGATCTTACAAATATCGACCTTGTTAAATCTGAAGGTTGTTACATACAAAAAGTAGAAGTAAGTATACCATACACACAAACATACCTATGAATATTTGCTAAATTTCCTTTTAAAAAGAATGCAAAAAAATAATTAAAAATCATAATTACCTGCTTATTGACAGATCTTCGATGGAAATACAGATGAAGCCAATCTTCTCAATCGTCTTTGCGGCAATCAGGAAGGTATTGAACCACTAACATCCAGCGGCAATATGGTGTTGATACGTTATGAATACCTTTTACCATCATTCAGTTTGCCAAAGAGCTTCGAAGTGCAATATAAAAGGGGTATGGACAAAAATAAAACTTCTAACATGTATATATATTATATATGTATAGAGAAATATCTGCGGGGTTTATGAACTAATAATTTATTTATTTAAGTTTGCAATGATGAATTTGTAAGCACTGACGGAGACTTTTTTACAACACCAAACTATCCAAATCCTTATTATGAGCACATGGAATGTACTTTTATAATACGAGGGCCAGTAAACTCCGTTGTACACATTAATTTTACGGACTTTTCGATAAGCAAAAATTATGCACAGCTGGAGTTAGACGACGTTTCTCCATCCTTTTTTAGTAATACTACAACTTTTTGCGAAGACGAAACATTTGTTGATGTAAATTATATTGAGACGAACTACCATTACATATTACAAATACATTTTTTTTAACAGGTTTATTTGTCGAATAACAACAAACGTCGTTATTATGAAGGCACATTTCTCCATCTGGTATCAGAAAAAAATGTTTTGCGTATAGTTTTTCATGGTGGAACCAATAAACAAAAAGGGAGAGGAATACGCATTGAATATCATTTTGAGAAATTGAATTGCGGAGGCATTTTAACTGGAGACAGTGGCCAATTCCATCATATGGCAACAACACAACAGGCGGCACAGGATTGTGAATGGGTGATCGAAGTACCACAAGGAAAACACATTCAACTGAATGTACGTTTTTCACATTGGAATATATTCAAATGTGATCCAGGTGATGCAGATATTGATATTTATTCCAATGATACTTCCACTGAAAGTCAACTTTTGATCAGGTAAATTTATGGTATTTTACAATTATAAATAAAATCGAAGTACAAATATGTGCATATTTTAGCTTTTGCCAGCAAACAAAAATTTTAAGTGAATCATTCCATGCGAAGACTATTACTGTTATCCTTCACATAAACCGCAAGATACGATCCCTTGTCAATCTTATTGCCAATTTTAAAGCAATTGATAACAACGCAGGTAAGCGCTAATCAATTAGAATATTTATACATAAATATTAAGGTAAGCTAAAAACTACTCGACCGAATTCATTGGTTAAAATGAGCCTATATGCTAGAAAAAATATCCTGTAAGAAAAAATATTTTGCTTAATTTTTAAAGGTGTGGGTGTGCATTCAAAGTTGTTAAGAAAATTTTATGATCTAGAAAAATCCGCAATGCAAATTATTTTATCTTAAACTGATTTTTTTACGTGTAATTTATATCTGAAACTACAGAACGGCACACAAATAGTACGTCTTATAAAATTAACAAGAAAAAACGTTAACTTCGGTTGCACCGAAGCTATAATACCCTTCACAGATACAAAGGTTCCTTACAATAACTTGATTCAGATCTAATTTCGTGAATCGGCAATAAAAAATAAACACTTTACTCCGATCGATCAGTTTATATGATAGCTATATGACATAGGGATCCGATCTAAATAATTTCTTCGGAGAATATATTCTTGAATTAGAAAATAACTCATGCCTAATTTAGTGAAGATACCTCGTCAAATGAAAGAGTTTTCCATACAAGCACTGGAATCAAGTTCAGTTTGTATGACAGCTATATGCTATAGTCATCCGATCAAAACAATTTCTTCGGGAATTACATTGCTACCTTAGAAAATAACTCATGCCAAATTTCGTGAAGATATTACGTCAAATAAAAAAGTTTCCCACACAAGGACTTGCTTCTGATTGTTCAGTTTGTATGGCAGATCTATGCTATAGTGGTCCGATATCGGCCGTTCCGACAAATGAGCAGCTTCTTAGTGAGCAAAGGACAGGTACAAAATTTCAGATCGATAGCTTAAAAACTGAGGCACTAGTTTGCATATATACAGACGGACGGACGGACAGACGGACATGGCTAAATCAACTCAGCTCATCATGCTGATCACTTATATATATTATATATTATATATTTTATAGGGTATCCGACGTTTCCTTCTGGGTGTTACAAACTTCGTGGCAAACTTAATATACCCTGTTCAGGGTATTAAAATAATTTATGAAAATCAAGAATCACTTTGTAGATATACATAAATAAAACTAAATTTATTAATAAATTTTTCAGCTTGTGACGGGAATTTTACAGCGAGATACGGAATTCTCAAAACACCATCATGGCCAAGAAATTACGATGATTCAATGAATTGTACATGGATCATTAGTGCTCCAATAGGTCACAAAATTGAACTTGTTGTACAAAATTTCAGTGTAGAAACAACATCAAAAATTTGTAATGATGATTATCTAGAGATCAGGTAATTATATCCATTTAAAATATATATATACTATATGTATTTAACATATTCACATATAATACATGCATACAATATGTATGAGTGTAAATACTTTCGATATACCGAGGCATTTTATTTTATCCCAATAGATTGGAATGAAAGCTTTAATTGACTTTGTCTTACCAAATGCAACCCTGTGTACGAGGAAAGTCCTAATAGTAAAGTACTAAGTAAAACTATCAGCAGAAAATAAAAACTGAGAAATAATAGAATTGTGATCATTTAAAAGCATTTTTTCAATTAACATCATATAGTGATAACTCCCTGGGTAAAGAATAACACCCTATTACCCGGAAAATTTTAAAATGGGGAGAGTTTCTTCAGCCCGTCAACACGTATAGATTTCTTAGGATGATCCAATTTGTTTGATAACAACAACTTACCATGCCACGAATATATGGTATAGAAAACGTTGTTCTTTTTTTGAGCGTTTTACTTTCTTAAAGAAAAGGGAATTCCCACCCGTTGCTTACAAAAGGAGTGGCGCTTTCAAATTATCGGCAGAGCTATCGATATTTTTCGTTTTGCACCAATAGTTAAATTATCTCAAAATAAACCAACCGGTGTCCAACAAGAACAGACTAAGCGACTCATTGTAACCATATTTTATTAAAATAACTTTCATTTTCACCGATATATAGGCACAATACAAAATCCACCTCAGTGACACCAAAGACAGTGACATCAAAGAAGAAGTCAAGTTTGGATGTAACTCAACATTTTATACACTTGCAATTTTATATAATTATATTAAAAATGGTGCAAATAAATTCAATATGGATTACAATCATTTTCACCCTCTCGCAAAATGATACTCAGAGTACTATAGGTTTGTTCTTCTAGCGGTAGCTTGTAAAACCTAAAACTAATCGATAAATATATGGAGTTATACATATATGTATACATATTTTAACGATTAGGATGACGAGACGAGTTGAAATCCGGGTGACTATCTACCCGTCCGTCTGAACTAAAAAGGTTAATGCTCATGTCCCCACAAATTAGTAACTATTCAAGCCCCTTGATACCGAATATGTGGACCCCAGGGCCTATGGACAGCTTTTTGCCGAAAATATAGGTCAAACTGGGAGATGTATGTTATTGATGAAATTCGGAGACAATCGTTCCTTGATAATAGTAAGCATGTCTGTCCAAAATAGGTTAAACGCGGTTAATACTTTCCGTATACCCCATATCCCTAATATGACGATTTTCGAACTACAGTTCACTTTACACCGCATATAACCGTCACTATATGAGATACCTCATTAAAATTGAAAGAGCGAGAATCTCTGGGTATATCTTTGTGGCAAAAATCGAAAAAATCGATGGAAAACTTGCCCTATCTCCCACATAACTAACGTAAGGATCCATTTGATCATCATAACTTATACGTACATATATTGGTCAATAGGTGAGGTCGGTTCACGAATTAGCTCAGCTCTCATATACTATACATATACATATAACGATTATCGTGTTCTAGCCCACTTTATACCTCGTTCTTGAGTATGCTTAACCTGATGTAGTGATATATTATATATGATCAGTAAATGAAATCCGAGTGGAAATGTATGTTATGAAAACGAATTCACAAACAATATTCGTTTATTATTCACTTCAAATCAATTGTGTGAATTTTGTGTGCGCACACATACTAAAGGTAAATTTAAGTGCTAAAATTATGCATGGAAGCTCATAGATATATCGCCCAAGAGTTTGTTAAGGGTGACAAAAATAAATTCGATGCGTTTTAGAACTAATCTGTAAAAGCGTCAATCGTCACGGACGTATCTGCGTAGATAAGCGACTTTAGAAAACCCCACAAATAGTCTAGTGGTGTTAAATGCACGACATTGGAGCCAACCCACGACGCGGGATAATGCCCTCATCAAAAGTTTCCTTCAATAAGTTGATTGTTTTGTTGGCTGTATGGTATGTAGCGCCGTCATGTTGGAACCAAAGGTTGTCCACATCATCATAAAGGCCGGCTGTATTTTTGAAAAAATATGGACCAATGATTCCTTCTGCTCATAGAGCATACCAAACATGCGATGGCGTCTAAACAATGGCTTGTGGATTATAATCACTCAAAATTTTGTTTATTAACGTTCCTATTCAACCAAAAGTAAGTATCATTGCTCAACAAAAGTTTCTTGTGAAAATCTTGATCCGTGGCCATCTCGTTTACTGCCCATTCACCGAAAATCCGACGCTCTTGATGGTTCGTTCTTGCAAGGTGTAACTTAAGGAAAAATTGAGATATCGTATTGAAAATTGATTCACGTGTTCCGACGAGTTCGTCGATGGGCGTAATCCGACTACTGCCACGCTCACAAAATGATATTAATTGAGAACTTATAAATTGCCATAACTAAGCTTCACATTAAGCACCGAAACTGTAATTTGGTACAACGAATCGCAATAGCAAATAGCACCTGCGGTTTGAAAGTTTTTGAAAAAGTGTCCTCGCCCCCTAATAGGTTTAGTTTATATATCTCCCAAGCCATTTAAGTTGTATCACCCAAATTCGCAAAGGACAATTCATTTTGATACCTTTTGCGACAGCGTGAAATTAGGTAAAATCGAATGATAACCACGCCCACTCCCCATGTAACGGTTTGGATTAAAACTAATAAAAGTGCGATAATTCAATAACTAAATGTGTTAGAGACATACAATTTTACACCTAGAATAGCGCAAGAACAACCCACATTTGGGTGAAATCACATATCTCCGGACCTACACAAACCAAATTACAACCAAATTTGGTACTTGGGATAATTTTGACATTATGACACTGTAAAAATGGGAGAAATCGGACGGCAACAACGCCTACTTCCCCCAGTATACAAATCAAGCACCAATTAATATATCGGAATACAACTTTGCACAAATATTCTCTTTAAGGTATAGCATCTCAGATTAACAATTTGTGTCCAAATACCGGAAATGTGAACCCCATGTCTAAGAATCCTTACCTGATAATAGTATATCTGTATGTCCTAAATGGGTTGAATTGGGTCAATATTTCCTTAACCCCCCTATACCTAATATAAAGATATTCGACCTTCCGGCTGTTTATGTACACCATATATCGGCCAGTATGTGAGTTATCTTAATTAAATTGAGTGAGCGTGTTTTCCTCCTAACGGTGCATCTCTGTGATGGTTTGTGAGGTACCTTAATGAAACTCACTGAGCATCTGTTTCTGTTAATAATATAAATTAATGCCAAAAATATATATCCCATATACCTAACAAAAGATTTGTAAATTTCTAATTGGCCTTATACCGTATACAAGTATATCGGTCAATATGTAAGACATCTTATGAAAATTAACTGAACGTATAAAATTGAATACACAGTGTTACGAATCGTGTTACAAAAACCAAACCGTAATAACGTTTTTTTAATTAATGAATTACGTTTATTTAATTTTTTATTGTATAGCGAATTTTATTTTATTTTATATAATGAATTATTTTAAAACAAATGAACCCTAAATGACGTCCATGTTCAGCCACGCATGTGCGACACCTAATTATTGTAGAAAATTTTTTATTGCGACCTAAAGGTTTGAAGTCGGCATTGCAACAATTATGGATTTAATGGACTGCTTCAATTCAGTTAGATTTCTGGGTTTTGTTTTGTACACCTCTTGCTTGACAGAACCCCATAAAAACAGAACCCGGCGCAGTCAGGTCAGGTGACCTTGGAGTCCAGCGGAATGTGGAATTTCTTTAAATGGGCCTTATCAGACATAAACAGGTAATTAAACCAAGTTATTGTCTTTTTATTTCGGTTTAACCGGGCTTATTATTTAAACTTTGTACGGAAACAGGTTTAAGTCATCATGAATTATCCGTTGTAATGACCGTCTGCTAACTCCAAGTAGCGCCGATAAGTTGCAAGTAAAAACTCTTGGCTTTGCCTGAATTGACGATGCAACAGCCGTGATTGTTTCTTGAACACGAACATACGGATCTCGATGGTACGGTTTTCTTGCGATACTTCCAGACTCGGCAAACATGTTTACCAATCTCATATACTCGGAGAAGTGCCGCCAGAATCCCGTCTGAACTCTCTTTGGACGGAAATGATGGATTGCCAGGCATGGTTCCGATGCAATATCCAAATCCTTTTTTCGGTATCCCAAGCATTCATTTAAAAAAAAATTATATAATAACCTGCCAAATAAAAAAAACTAAGTCGATTACTCACACAGGAAAAAAGTTATTACGGTTTGTTTTTGTAGCACGATTCGCTGTTTTCTTTCACAATTCATTCATGATGGAATAAAAACGAGAACGAAATTTGTTCATATTCTCGTTTTTTAAAACATAATAAATTTACTCGTTTTTGTATTCATTTTAATTTCCTTTTTTACTTAGATTCCAGATTTAGTCTCTTTGGTAGAGTTTATATCACATATGTATATCCTATTTGAGTTAACTAGGTTAATTTTGGTACCAATATCCCGGATATGAAGCAAAAAATAATCAAGGGAGACTACGACCTATAATATGTGTTGTATAACAATGACTAATTCATGTTCGATTCTTTCGCAACATTCATTAATATAAAGTTTTGTCAACACATGAAAATATTTCACTGGCTTAGATCTTTTCAAACTCCGAAAGAAAACGAATGCTCGGTTACACCCGAACTTAGAACTTCCTTTCTAGTTATATTTATATTCGTAAAATAATAATTAATGTAAAGTACAGTTTAACTATGCTGTTCTAACTATAATTTTACATATTACCTCTGTATAGGTATTCATACAAATATTTATATACTCAACTTCAATGTAACGAATATTTTGATTTTGTCTTTAATTATTTATTATTATATATATTTTTTATGGTAAATTATTTGTTTTTTTTTTTTTTTGTTTTTTCTTTATGTAGGAATGGTAAAAGTGCAACCTCTCCTTTAATTGGGAAATTCTGCGGAAATACAATACCCGCACGCTTACCATCTTTTACAAATTACCTATATCTTCATTTTGTTTCGGACTCATATATATCCGATAAGGGCTTCTATATTACATGGCAGCAAACCGAAACAGGTTGTGGTGGTAAACTAAATTCGTACACAGGCTCAATACATTCTCCTCATAATTCTGATGTAAATGCTGGAACCGTATCTTGTGATTGGGCTGTAACTGTAGCTAGAGGATCAACAGTAACAGTATATATCACAGTTTTCGGAGATGACTCGAATTTATGCATCCAAAATGTTTTAGCTGTATACGATGGACAAACTGTAAACAGTCCCCGATTAAAATTCAGTTGTACGAACATTGGTAGCGCTGTACAGTTAACAACTACTTCAAATCAGGCTTTAATAATTTATAACTTCGATAAGAGTAATGTTGAGAATGGCCTGCAGTTCTTTATCGATTATGAGACTAACTGTAATGGTAAACTAGACAACTTACAGGGAGTAATCGAATCACCTAACTTCCCCGACAACTATCCGCCAAACTTAAATTGTTTTTGGGACGTACACGGCGGTCAAAACAATAAGTTTCAATTGATATTTTCGCATTTAAACGTAGAAATTCGAGATGAAAGTTGCGATTTCGACTATGTGGATGTTATTGATTTGCGAAACGATGACGTACTATCGAAGCAGCATTTGTGTTCGAATTCTCATAAGTCCATCACAACTGAAGGAAATCGGTTTCAAGTCAAATTTGTTACCGATTATTCTGAACATGCGAAAGGTTTTAGGCTGGAGTACAAACGGATTGGTTGTGGGGATAAAATGACAGCAAATTATGGTATTATAAAATCACCTAACGCTCCGTATAGCATTGATATGAACTGTAACTGGTATATTGAAGTTCAGGCAGGGAAAAAGATTATTCTTAACTTCGATGAAATACATATTGAAACTAAACGAGGAGACTGCATTGAGGATGGTATTATTGTTTCAGATCAAAAGAATTCCACTACTAACATTTTAAAGGAGTGTCGTATAGATCAAATTCCCATTACAATAACATCAACGGCTAATCACTTATACATTCATTTTTATACAAGTAGTACAAGGTCGAGGAAGTATATTTCCGCCACATATAACACTCACGACGCCTCATGTGGAGGAACCTTCCGCGGTAATAGCGGCCAAATAAAATATCCGTCTAATTCGGATGTCTCTGGTATAAATACAGAATGTGTATGGCAAATTATAGTAGATAACAGTTATGGAATAAATCTTGCTTTTGATACATTTAATCTCAGTTGTAGTGGTACATTTTTAAGTGTGTGGAAGCCAATTGATAGTACAGATCAACTTATACAAAAAACTTGTGGAAACCTATTACCCGAAAACAGAAGGATCCAAAGTAATCGCCTGAAAGTTGTTTACAAAGCGAGTACAGATAGTTGGGGAATATTTTCTTTCAAATTCAAGCGGGTAAGCAAACATAATTTATTTAAGTATAATCCAAAATTATTTATGCTTAATGAGCTTATTAAAAGTTCTTTCTACTAATTATCTGTACAAGGTATGTGGAGGCTATTTGGATGATACTTCTGGTTATATAAAGGCACGTTGGGATGAAAATTGTGAATGGAAAATTGAATCCGAAGGCTCAAAGATTTTTCTCAATATACTCCATTTGGAATGTGATTGTTCGAAGCATACAAATTGTACAAATGGCTTAAAAGTAAGTGTTTTAAGCGCATTGCGGGAAAACTTAATATTTTTTTAATGTTTTTTAACAATATAGTTAGTAGATGGAAATGATCAAAGCAAATTAGATGTATATTGCGATAATCATCAGTCCAATATCATACTATCAACAAGTGCTTTGTTTGTTTACGCCACAAAAATTGAATTTAAAGCCAAATATAGTATAGTACAAAGTTCATGTGGCGGCACTATTACCTCGCTTCGAGGCATATTGACATCACCATACTATCCTCAGTCCTATCCATCAAATGTTGAATGCGTATGGGAAATTAAAGCGTCATCAGGAAACTACCTTGAGCTGGATATTAATGAAATGGATATTGTAGAATCCGAAAACTGTAACCAAGACTTCTTGGAAATACGAGAGAAAAACGAGCTTGGCAATATTGTCAAACTATATTGCTCTAATGAAACTGTTACGGAAAAACTAACAATATTTGAGAGAGCATGGATCAAATTTCGCAGTTCAAAAAGAAACACGGCGAAAGGCTTTAAGCTACAGTGGAATTATGGTGAGTGCAGTTTTGGGTTATATTCCAACAATATTTTCATTTACATGTAAATATTTGTGAAAATTTCGCGAAAAATGAATCTTATCGAATAATGCAAAAAGTATAACGAAGTACTAGTTGTTTTATGTAGATAAATAGGACCATTATTTATTAGATATATGGAGTCCTTTCGGTTTCAGAGCTTCCACGGTCTATCAAACAAATAAGTTCGGAAGCTCTCGCAATATGTACGAATATATGCCAAGACATATATATAAATATATACTAGCTGGCTTTTTTTGCCATAAACGAGATTTTTGGGAAATATTTTTAATGAAGTGCGTGGGGGATGTACATTTTGGTCTCACGAAAAAAAAGCCCAAGAGCTCCAAATTTTGTTTTTTCTCAAGTTGGTACATATGGCATGAGATCACATGCAAAATTACAAGTCATTCTGTCAATTAATACTTTGTTTACAAGCCATTTGAAGTTGACATGTATATTTACAAGTTTACAAGTATTTTTTTAATATGGAAAAAATTGAATATCGCGCAGTGTTTAGATTCATTGTTTTGAAAGGTTTAAAAGCAAAGGAAATTTATGAACAATTGTGAGAAGTGTATAAGGAGTCCTCACCTTCAAAACGAACCGTTGAATTTTGGGCTGTTGAATTTAAAAGTGGTCGTACTAGGCTTGAAGACGATCCATGCGAAGGACGACTAAAATCGCAACCACACCAGAAATTATTGAGCAAGCTCATTATATTGTTAGTGATCCAAGATTGACTAAGCGTGAAATTGCTAATGCATTTTATAGGTTTTTAATTAATGGCGTTTTGTGGGCGTGGTAGTGATCCGATTACGCCTATCTACGCATTTTTTTGCCAAGAAATACGTGTACCAAGTTTCATTCAGATATCTTAATTTTTACTCAAGTTATCGCTTGCACTCGGATTTCAAATCGTCTAATCATCCTGATAATTTACAAGTATATATATATAAACCTATATCTATCTCTATTAGTTTTAAGTGATACACACAACCGCTAGGTGAACAATACTATTATACTTTCTAGCGACCAGTTGCAAGGGTATAAAACTGTTGCGAAATAATTCAACATTTGTTATTGGACGAAATCGTCAATTTCAATCAAATTTGCTCACTATAAGTGTGGGGGATGTATTTATAAAGTTGAGAGAGTTGTAGAAAATTAAATTATAAGTACTTTATACAAGTTAATAAAATAAAATCATCATTGCGAATGCCAGTCTAATTAAAAATTGAGTGCGTTTGAATTCAATTGACACATCTGTAAGAATCATAGGGATGATGGCTCCGATAATATTTTTCAAAGGCAAAGCCGGGATGGATTCATTTCTAAGAAAAATAATCGGAGATCCAACCTTCAGTGATATATTGTGCGGTGGCATGCCCGGCATATCCAATGAATTCAAAAACTCAATTGAATAGTTCACAACTTCGTTGTCATCTCAAACAACATCGACAGATCAGTATGATACCAAGTCCCCTGTCAACAACTGTTGTATCTTTGAATTTTTTTTTGCTGCCCAAATCGCTCTTTCTGCCTGCCACGGGAAGTGTCTGTCTGAAATCACCTGAAAGAAGTAACAGATTGCCGCCAAACAGTTTGGCGATATTTTTTAAATCTTTCAATATCCTATCCAATGCCTCAAGCGAATGTTTGCGTGCCATAGCGCATACATCCCATATGATAAGTTTGCACTGACGTAAATTTTTTTTGCTCATCATTTAGTTGTAAAACAATGAAAGTGACAGTCGTCGCCAATTCGTCGGTATCATACTGTAGTTCTAGATTTATATCTGTAATGTTTAAATCAGATGCACTTCGATTTGGTGAACTCATACCGAAATGACTGATTGGTAAATTTGCAATGACAATGCAATGATCCTCAATAGCAATCAATGCTTGAATGTACATTGCGTCACTGAATAATATCGTTGGACATTGCACCTTGTACGATGTCGATACATTATATCATCAGTCATCGAATCTTTGTGATTATCCCACAACATTTGTGATCGAGTTGGGAAACATGTCGTCAGTACTATAGCAAATAGTAGACGAATTTGGGTCCCTGTGCAGTTTAATGCCACTTCAGCAAGCATACTGTCCCAATGATTGTCATATTCTGGTAAGCCTAGGGCAAGGCGTGCATCTTTATAGGTCAAATATTGTTGTAATAAACCGGGGCATGCATCAACTGGTATGCCTTGCTTGCGTGGCATCCCTTTCTTCGATTGGGTCCATATAAAATAGCTTGGCACTACTGAATAACACAAATAAAAAAATTCATTAGGCATAGCTTTTGGTGGGTTTATAGCACGATCAAGTGCTGTTTCGTTCGTAAAAAATACGCGTTGGACGTTTTCGAGATGCACAGCTCAATGGCTAACAGCTGGATCCCGTTCATGAATTGGAAAGCCGAAGATACGCCAGGCAGCTTCATTTGAACTGATATTCCGGCTAATTGGGTAATTCATTATTTCATTATTTATACTTATTTGAGGAGCATTTGCATTAGTATTTTCAATTCTAAATACAGCAATATCACTTCCTTTATTCACATACTTGCAAATATATTTGATGCTCTTCACCGAACTGCAAAACTCAACATTAATATGAGCATTGAGTATTTTACTCAGCAGAGGTGAATATGGCACCACCCATCGATTGTCGATGCCAATGTTCGCATTATTGATATTTTTAATGAATGGCAGACCGTATCGTTGGTGAAATCTTTAGGAAAACGCTCAGTACATTTTCCGTCTACCATGCAAGGCGATGAACGATTCAGATCTCCTCACGGACATGTTTGTAGTAACAATATTAAACAATAATGGATCTTAAACGAGTCTGGAATTTCTGCAGAAATTAAACTATCGATGTCTTTAGCACGTATTTTGTCGATGAATCAAATCCAAATATGAGCATATCGCTTTTGCCACTCAACCGAATACATCCAACAACTTGTAACGCCAACTACATGAAATTTTGTAATAAAGTTTATTAAGGACTTCAATTTTTGTTTAAAAATAGGATGGCAGGCTTACCAATTTGGGCTGTGTCAGCGTTGTTCGCAATAGCATCTCGCAGGTGAATATATTCTTCTGCACGCAGCTTCTGTTGGTTATCTTCACATACATGATTTGTATAATTTCAAGAAGTCATTGTGCTCATTTAACAAAGCGTCCAGCTCGCCGATAAATCGCCTGGCAAAAAGTGAATTTAGAATATTGTAATCGGAGATTCGTTTGGCGTTGGCGAAAGTGAAACCACTTTGTTATAAACTTGGACTTTGATTTTGAAAGTTCAACTAAGTTGTTTACCATTTGCAGCAATATTTTGAACAATTTCTGTTGCTCCGAGCGAAATCATTTGGGAACATGAATTGAATGCACGAATTGATTTTAGGAACAGGCTAGAATCTGGATCTGTACCGATGAAAAAGCTGTTCAATTGTTCAGATCGTATTTCAGTTTCCATTATTTGTACTTTTACTGATGAGCAAGACATCCCGACTGGCTCATTTTTAAATTTAAGTGACCAACAACACGGGCATTCCTTGTCCAAAGTACCAATGATCACTTTGAAATGAGCATAACATTCAAAATCAGGCTCATACTGGAATTAAAAATTAAAACTATCATTATTACTAACAACTACCGTTGTTATCGGAGTTCAAAACACGTGTTCATTTACATATATCAGATTCCGTAATTATTGATAAGTCATGTAATGTCAGAATCAGCCTTTATTATGATTCAAATTTTCTTTTTCAAATATTTCCATTAATGAAAATGTGTTTTTTTATTGATAACTGAATACTAATAGATTGTAAATCATAAAAAACCATCAAAATGTAGGTTTTTTGGCATTATGAATTAAACATTTTTTTCGCAAGAGGAAACAGAGTAAGAGTATACTATAATTATTATATGCTATTGCCGTCTTGTGGATCTGAGGATTCTCCAAAAAAAAAAAAAAAAAATTTGGGGTGAACAACCCTTAACATTTAAGGGTATGAAAAACAGATGTTGTCCGATTCTCAGATCTACCCGATAAGCAGAGCAAATTTCATCAAAATCGGTCCAGCCGTTTCGTCGTAGTTTGGCAACGAACACCGTGAAACAAGAATTTTATACATGTATAAGATTATTAAAAGTTTTGATAAACGAAACACAACGTTTTTATTCTCTAGTAGAGAAGAATGGAACAATGGTTCTGTTATCGAAAATACCAATGGCGAAATCTACATATTCACCGACAGATCAAAGGGTGAAATAGAAATAGGAGCAGGCTTCTTCCGTAGTCTTTCAGACCGAAATTGTTGGCATAACAGACAGTGCCAAGTGGACTTCTGCTCTAACCAGCAAGTCCATAAACCTTCTACTGGACAGCCAAGCAGCAATTAACGCTATCCGTAGCGCCAGTAAGAAGTCTCACTGCGATAGGCTATGCCAGCAGGCAATAACTAGGGCCTCTGTAGGTAACTCGGTTTATATCATTTGGGTACCATGTCTTATAGGAATTGAAGGAAACTAAAAGGCAGACGAGTTGACCCGCTCGGGAGTAGCTGGGATCACAATTCCCCTAAGCTGTCCTCAGGTCTTGAGATACCAGCAACACAGGGTTACTTTAGTGTAGTGTTGAAGGTGGACAAAGCAAACAGCATCTACTTCTAGGCAAAATAGAACTTAGTAATATAATAGGGGCCATCTCAGGGCACCTACCCTTAAGATCCCACCTTCAGACAATTGGAGCTGTGGATTCGGCGGAAGTCAGAGCATGCGCGGAGGATAATTCGACTCTGGAACATAATCTTTGTGAATGTCCAGCCTTCTGCCGTTGAGACGGGATATCTTCTACGGCTCCCAATGCTCCAACTTAAGAGAAATTAGACAGCTGGTCGAAAAATGTCGGGTTTTTTACCAAATTCACTGGTTATTGGATATGGCTTAATTGGGTTACCATCCGGGAGCACAATGGGCCACCTGCTCTCTGGCGCTTCTGCGCCTCCTTTTTCTCAAACAATTGTAAACACTGATCAAGAGCATTGATTACATATTGATGAGCGAATTCGAAAAATTGTTTTTTATTCGATGGATAAAAAATTTTCTTGATTGAATTCTTCCCCAACTACAACAAATCCATTTCATTCTCCTCCCATGCTCTTCAGCCCCTTAAAATGCCTTCGAACCAAAACTCCTTTGATGTACTGAAAAGAATCGGTCTAGGGATAGAAATACATATATTCACAACTGAATTGGAAAATGAACATTGGAAAACGAATAAATATAGCGTATATGGCATATTACGCCAACAAAAGAATACTTACCTTAAACCAAACACCGTTCTTAGACCAATTCTAACATATGGAGCACTGGTTAGGTGGTCAGTTTTAAAGAAACAATACAATATCAGGAAATTAAATGGAATACAAAGAGCACCCTGTGTGGGGGTTACCGGGGCTATTAAGTCATGCCCGACTGATGCGCTTAATATGCTCCTGCATCAACTGCACATAGCCGTCTTTCCTCGAAAAATAGAAGGAAGTTCTGTTATCATATATAATTACATACATATAATCAGACTATGTCCTTCCAATTAGCTCAGAACAGATGAAAATCATGAAAGATAGCGAATCTGATATGGTCAAAATATGACAAGACAAGAACTAAGGACTTATTAAATAGTTCCAGGAAAAATATACACAGACTTATCATATCGGGCCATTAGCTATTTGAAGAGAATACTCTAGGAGGTCATTCGGGAATTGTCTTCTACTCTCTCCCCCAGCTCTATCACAAACCCTACACAGAATACTTGGAACCCATCAGGCACCTTGAACGGCTGTCTGCAAAAACCTTAACGGATATACATAAGTAGTTTCATTGAGAGCACCAAACGGTTTAAACGCAACGATGAAACCGGGGTAACAAGATTATAAAGGTCTTACGATAATGCACCTCCATCAATAACATTATATATTTTTATACCCTGACCAGGGTATATTAAATTTGCCACGAAGTTTGTAACACCCAGAAGGAACGTTTTAGACCCTATAAAATATATACATAAATTATCGGCATGATAAACTGATTTGTTTTTGCAACGTCCGTCTGTTCGTCTGTCTGTATTTGTATATATACTAGTCCCTCAGTTTTAAAGTTATCGTTCTGAAATTTTGCACCTGTCCCTTCCTCACTAAGATGCTGCTCATTTGTTGGAACGGACCATATAGGCCCGATATCGGACCACTATAGCATCGCACCACTAAATACAAACTGAATGATCGGAATCAAGTGCTTGTATGGGAAACTTTTCTACAATATTTGACGTAATATCTTCCCGAAATTTGGCATGAGTTATTTCCTAAGGCAACAATGTATTCTCCGAAGAAATTGTTCAGATTGTATCACTGTAGCATATAGCTGCTATATTAACTGAACGATTGGAGTAAAGTGCTTGTATGGAGAATATTTTCATTTGACGAAGTATTTTTACGAATTTAGGCATGATTTATTGCTTAAAGCAACAATGTATTCTCCGAAGAAATTGTTTAGATCAGATCAATGTAGCATATAGCTGCTATACAAACTAAACGATCGGAAAAAAGTGTTTGTATGGAAAACACATTGAAACCGAATTGAAAAATTAATTAGTGTTATTATTTAATAATATCATGTGACAGATTTAAATAAAAATAATTTCGTGCGTATTAAATTCACTTGCTATAATGGGATTTCACATATTCGATAATTCTAAATAATCTTACATCTTTAGATTTGTGCTTTTTTTATTTGCAGCTCACAACAGTGAACTAAACAGCAGCGTGGGTTCCATAGATGCGCCTCCTTTAAATTCCATTCGTAATCAGGAATCATACACATGGAGAATTTTATTGACTAGAGGAAGATTTATTTATATCGAATTCAAAGAGTATAATCGGGGTTTGAGAGTAAGAAAACAAATACAAATAAACATAGAAACTTCAAACAAATTAATTGAACTTTATTCGTTTATTTTATTTTTATTTTACATACTTTTGTACTAGTTATATGACGGTTTCGATGACTCAGCCTTAGAGATACCGATACCCATTTCTCCCTGGCAATATACATCCAGCAGCAATGTTTTATATTTAGTAAGTAATAATGAAGCGTTGGAAGCATTTAAAATTGTTTGGAAAACTGTGAACAACAGCATCACACAATCCAACCAAACTACAAGTAACTGCAACAAAACATTTATTCTAAGTTATATGAATCGCTTAAATATATCTTCACCTGGTTATCCAAAAGATTATACTAATGATTTGGACTGCGAATGGGTAATAAAGCCAGAAGATCCCACGGAGCATGTTGTTTTGAGCATATACGACGTTAAACTAGAGGTTTACGGAGAATCTGATTACTTGCGTGTCTTTTCATCCCCAAATTTAATAAGCTGGCATCAAGAACTGAATATGTTTGATAGCAGAAACAAGTCTATACAGCCAATTAAAGTTATACATGGAACTCCATATTTAAAAGTGGTATTTCACTCTGATTCTAGCTTTAGTAATACTGGATTCACAGCTTTAGCAAAGACTGCTTGCGGATCAAACATGACCGGTTTAACAGGGCAAATACTGAACAAAAGAGAATTTCGCTCTTGGAGTTCAAATACGGTTTGCACTTGGCATATTGAAGCACAGGTTGGCAAGCGAATCGTCTTAAACTTTAATTTCGGACGACATATAGTATCTAAAACGCTGGCGTGTCGACAATACGCAGTTGTATACGACGGTTTCGATGATAATGCACCTATATTACCACCTGGGCGAATATGCAACCAAGATGGCCGAAACGTTAAAAGTATGGAGTCTTCAACTAACCGTTTAACAATAAAATATAACTTAAATTGGACTAATCTATTTGAGATGGATCTTGACTTCAATCTGACTTATCAACAAATCGGAAGTTGTGAATCAGAAATACAACTAACTCATTACTTACCTTCAGTAAATATAAGCTCACCTAATTATCCCAATGTACCGAACCCACATACCGAATGCAATTGGCTTATAGTCGGTCCCATTGGCGAAACATTGCAAGCAGAATTCATTAACCGATTTAATCTTAATACTCGATATTGTGATAAAGAGTTTCTTGAATTTTTCGATGGCTCCACTGAGTTATCACGCAGTTTTGGGCGCTTTTGTACAAAACCAAATCCAATACGTTCCACAGGAAACATTCTCCGTTTGCATTATTTAACGGATATAAATGAACCACGAAATGGCTTTCTACTCAATGTTTCTATAGCGAACTGTGGGGGCGTTTATACAATTTTTAACGGAGAAATTTCATCAAAAGATTACCCTGCACCTGGTGCTTATCCAAAACCCGACATTTGTGAATATACAATAAAATTGCCAAATCCATCAAGAATACGATTAAATTTCAGTGATTTTGATTTACCTTTCAATAGCAACAATTTGAACCGTTCCGATCGCATAGAAATTGTCACGTTGAGTGAGAATCCCGAAACGATTGCTGTTTTATACGGAAATGCTACTCTTATGCCAATCTTAGAAACTGATTATAATCTCATAACGTTACGCTTTACAACATTCCCTGGCAGTCATTTACATAGAGGATTTCGATTAAGATATCAGCGGTTATATGGTGGTTGCTACCGTGATGTCAACAACGAGTCAGGTATTTTAACATTTAAACCTCAGGAGCGAGCCTATGGATATGCATCTTGCAGATGGAAAATTAGAGTTCCGAAACGGCAACGAGTATGCTTTGAATTTGAAAAATTCGAAACGCAAAGTGCTGTCAATAATACAGAGAGGTAAACATTACTTTAACTCTTTTACTAAATTTTTTGGCAAAATTTTTTGGGGCAAATCCTTATGATTCATAGTCCAACGGGACCAAACTTTTCTAGTTCCAAGAATATGAGGACCGCAGTGCCTATCACCGAGAATTTCGGTAAATCTGTGAGATATCTTGATATAATATAAGGAGTTTCAAACTACCTGTTAAATTTATCATGTTTATATTAAACAAACTGTAAGATATATGAACCAAATTAAGTAAAGGTCTCCACTAGGATATATTTTTAAGTTTAGTGGCGAAGTTAGTCGACAAACTACCCCAGCCCAAGGCTTTTCAGTTAACTTTCTTCCGCATTTATTAGTAAGATTGATTTTAAGGTGAAGATTTCGGATGAGAAACAAATGTAGTAGAAGTACTTGTAGTAAGAAACGAAGTATGTGAGTATATTAAGTTCACATGATACCAAATATGACTGTAATCCATTCGAAGTTTCGTTGAATTACGAATAATGAAATTATTTGCAACGCTTTGTAATACAAAGCCAAACTAAGCCCTTTCTTACTTGTTTGTAAAGACTTCAACATCAAAACTGTAAAGTTTAAAGTTATTAGTATACTAACACATTTATTTACATATTACAACTTTCTCTTTCACTTTTCAGATTTAGAACACTAACACATCCTTTTGCAAGAACAACAAAAATATCATTTTACAATGATTTGGACTTGCTTTCCAAGATTATCGAAATTGATGCGAACAACATAAATATGTCCGAGAAAATAGTCTCGTCTGATAATTTTATGTATGTTCGCATCGATATTAACGGGTACCAGGCGCCAATACGCAAACTTCAGGCACGCTACAGCTCCAATGAAGAATCTCCTTGCCCTAAAGACATTAACGAACAGTTTGCGGGATCTGTGGATACCAACAACCTTCAATCGAACACAAATTTCTTTTGTAACTCAAAATTTTCCTTAAACGGATTTGAGACTATAACATTCAAAATTAGGGAGCTTCAGGTTACCAGAAATAGCCCGTTTAATTACCCATATGCAATTCGTTTCAAAGACGAAAGAATGCTAATGCCATATAAAACGATATTCACGAATGTTAGTAATACATTGGTATCGTTGTCATCCAGAGGTGGCATGCTTTCCATTTTGCAAAATGATGTGGTTAAGATTGAACGATTTTCCGCAAAATTTTATCGTCATTCCTGTGGAGGAAGTTTTAATATATTTGATGATTTTAAAATAGTATTTCCCCCAGACGACTTTGAATACAATGGAGAAGGCAATCCTATTGAGTGTTCATGGATGATCACAGGCGCTTCTGAAAATCGCCCATATAAACTTTTTGGTAATGTCAGCCTTATTAACGATTGCAATAAGGAATACATTAGCGTTTATTCCCTTATGTCGACGGGTCAACCATTAATAGCTAAAATATGCAACAATTTAACAGAAATCGTTGCTGGTATCGACTTAAAGCAGCATATAATAAATATATTGTATCATTCGAGCGATTATAAGGCAAGCTCATCATCCTTTCAGATAAGGGCTGAAGCATCAATTGCTTGCGGCATGAAAACGATGGTTAAGAGTAATTCCCCAACAATTTCAGTAAATTCTAAAAGTTATCAAAACAACATAGAATGCAGTTGGGAGTTTGAAGCAGGGTTAGGACTCTTCATGTTTGTGGAATTTACAGGTAGATTTTTTATTGAAAAATCCGAAAATTGTACAAAAGATTATCTTCAAATATATACATATGAAAATGAAGTTTGGCAACCGAAAGAACGATTTTGTGGGCGAGAAGTTCCAAGCAAGTTTAATGCAACATCGAATCGCATTCTTATTGTATTTCGCACTGATAATGCGACTACCGGAGATGGATTCACTTTTAGTGTTTTAGCATCCTGTGTAGCTACTTTCAATGTTACCGACCAGTTGCAAATGGTGCATATGCCTGATTTACGAAGCTTACCGTACTCACGACTTCAATGCAGTTATACATTTTTATCGAACTCCATAAATGCAATAAACTTACTAATCAAAGAAGGATCCCTCTCTTATGCTCGCCGTTCACACTCTCCAGGTTGGCCATGTTCATTGGGAACTTTCACGGTATATACAAAAGATACGGATGGAAATGAAATTAAAGCCGGCGAATATTGTGGTCCAACTGAGATAACTGAAAATCATTATTTGCGTTTAACCTCTAACATGTTCACCGATTTCTTTTTGATAGCATATCAATTGAATACATGTGGCGGAAATATTTCTTCGTATGCAATAATTCGCCCTCTAACAGCACCAAAGGAAGAAGATAACTTATACGCGCCCAATATGAATTGCGTCTGGAATGTAATGGCACCGACCGATTACTCCATATTGGTACGTTTTAAATATTTCGAAATCGAAGCACATGACAAATGCCAATTTGATTTTGTCGTAATCAATGCAGGCCCGTCTCCAAGAACTGACAATGAAGTAGTTAAGTTATGTGGGAATTTAAGTGCCGACCCTCCTTTGGTTTTAGTCGATGCTAATAAGGCTGTTATAACAGCAGTATCGGATTATAGCAATGCAAAAAAAGGTTTTGTGGCTGAGGTGATATTTGTGCGTAACTGTAACGAACGCATTGCATTGACCACCGAGGAGACCATTTCACAACCTCTTATAATGATTCGAAATTTTACAGTTGACTCATACGAGGAATTACACTGCCAAATTCGTGTAACCGCGCCAGAAAGTTATCGCGTAAAAATTCAAATGAAAAATCTATACATAAATCCAGTTGAATGTGTGGATAGGAAATGTGAACAGTGCAATTACTTAGAAATCATTGAAGCCGCGCTAAAAATGGATACATCCATTTCAATGGGGAAATTTTGCACGCCAGATAGCATCAAAAGAACAATTGTAACTTCCAATGAGCATGCATTACTACAATTTAGTTTTATTAAGGAGGGAAATTATACACTCGAACTTGTTTTGGAAATAGAAAAGCCTATATGTGGCGGACCCAATGAACTAAACTTGCGGCGTGAAGAGGTTAAATTGATAAAACTAGAACTAAAATTGTATACATTTGTGAAAGTATTCTATTTTCAGGATCTAACCATCACATTTCCACCTAATAATGAGTCCATTTATCCTGCTAATGCTCACTGCCATTGGCGCATAAAATCGGCAACAAGTTTTCAAATTCATATTGAATATCTGCTCTTACAGCAGCCGTCACCTGAGACAGGCAAATGCGTTGACTATCTTCGGATAGCCCAAGATATGGTAACTTAAAATTCAAATTATGTTTTAATGAAACGATATTAAACTTACTTACAGGACGAGGAAACTTATTGCGGAAATGCCACGGGATTTACCAAATATGTAACTGCCATTACTGGAAATGAAAATGATTTTACCGAACTCACTTTTCATAGTGATGATTCCGTAGAAGATAAAGGCTTTAAAATATTAATCTCCAGTCAACAAAGTGAGTAGACCATTAATTTAGGAGTGTCTTTTTAAAAGAGGATATTTACATTTTAATTTTATTTTTAACTAAATATGCAGTCTTGTCCTTAGTGATAATATGCACAATTTCGTCACTTGGATTATGATATGAACGAGATATTTTCCAAGTAAAAACGCTTTAAATGAGAGCTTCCGTTTTAAAACGGGATATTTTTACCCATCAAAATATAGCTTTGTTCATTTCATAACATAAAAGGATATTTACAAATTAATTATTATTATCTATTAGCTTTTTTAAAACGCGAAATTTACTTTTACACAGTGTTTTATTTCTTATAACTTATTTGATCTCGGCCTAAATTGCATTTTTTATTTTGCTGCGCCTGCAACCATTCTAAAACACAAAAAGGTAAGCTCCTACTAGAGAGCTTTCACTCAAATTTACTGTCAAAGTGTAATTTTGGTTTTCACATTCGATTAGTGTCTTTCACGAGCTAATTTTGAGAGAATTTTAACGACTTTATTTGACCTCATAGATGAGAAAACCGTAGAAGATCTAAACAGTGACAGAGGAAGGGATATTACTGCGAAAACACCGCAATATGTATATTGCAACAGAGGCCAAAAAGTATACAAGAAATGGGGATATTATTAAATTTTCGTGTCAAAAGGAGATATTCTGTTGTTTTTTTTTAGAATTCTGTAGCTTTAAATGGCAATGTTCTATTTTTGTCAAAATGTGTAGTTGAACGATGGAATGACATGGTTCTTAAACACAAATATAATATACTATTTTTCAGTAGGCCTTTAAAACGTTTTCTTATTTTGTGATAAGTTAAGATGTAGATACACCCTTTTGTAGAGACACTCCTCAATTGTTAATTTTTTCATTTATAACAAATTTCAAAACCAGTTGCGGTACATTTTTTTACGTAAGTAGTAGAAAAAATCTTTGAAGAATCTAAGAACGCAGAATAAAGCCAAGTTCTTTTCCAATTGCAATTGTCCATAGCTATTAACAGTTGGTTGTACATTTACTATTTTTAGTAAGAGATAATCAAATTACAGATTGTAATAAATAAGAGTTTTAATTCCCAGATGTCGTCATAAAGTTTTGTACAGTTCGCCGTCTTCTTTATGAGATAACCACTGTTACCGATTCATAAAGAGCGATGTGTATTTCATTTGACAAATATTCCCCTCAAACATCGAAGTTTCATAGAGAGGGATACTAACGGTGATATTTTATTAATCGTGAAATATCTTTTACTTTCTACTTACTATGTCGCCAGAATTGCCAGAACTATTCTCCGCCCAACAATCCGTGAGCAAAAATGATTTGGTGAAAAGTTTGCTATCGTTGCAACAACAACCAGAGTGGTTAAAAAGTCCCTTATAATCTAAGTAAAGGTACATTTTCAATAGCCTTTTTTTGACAGATCAAGCTAGAATCGTGTCAAGCTGTTATGTGATGTATGTTCAGTATTGTTTGGCATTTCATCATGAAAAGACTTACGCCTAAACAACGTTTACAAATCGTTCAACTTTATTACGAAAATTCACGTTCTGTAAAGAATGTGTTTCGCGCGCTTCGCTTCAACATAATCGGCCTACTGAGCGTACTATTCGCAACAGCATCACCCATCTTGAGACCCAGCATTTATTATTGGATAATATTCGACCGAATAGACGTCCAATACGCAGTGAAGAAAGTATAGCGGTCGATTCGGCGCCATTCGCAGCAACTCGGACTGACGTATGGAACGACTTGGCGCATTTTACGTCGAGATCTTAAATTGAAAGCGTATCAAATAAAGCTTGTGGAAGAACTGAAGCCGCTCAACCTTCTCAAGCTTTGCTCTATGGATTCTTAAAAGATTCCAAGAAGAGCCAAATTTTGTTCAGCGATGAGGCCCATTTCTGGCTCAATGGGTATGTACACAAGCAAAATTGCAACATTAAGAGATTCAAGAGCTGTCATATCCTGTAGGGATATGTAAAGTCTAACTTCTATGCGGACAATCCCGCTTTGATTCAGGCCTTAGGGCAAAACATCACGAGTGTCAGTCGGCAGTTAACAGTCGAAATGCTCGAACGAGTAATCGAAAATTGGACTCAACGAATCTACCATCTGAGACGTAGCCGCGGCCAACATTTTAAAGAGATAATCTTCAAAAAATAAATGACAAAGAATGTTCTTTCGAATGATAATAAACATTCCCCATTCAGTTTGAGTTTTCTGTGTTTATTTCTTTAAAAAAGTAGTGAACTTCGAAATGGATCACCCTTTATATTATTACTAAATTTCTTTTCTACTGGAATATAGTGAGTCTATATCAGTCTTATACAAGAAAAAACGTTAACTTCGGCTGTACCGAAGTTATAATTATATACCCTATTATACCCTCAGATCTTTATTCTGATTTTGATCGGTCAGCTTGTATAGCAGCTACATTCTACAGTTGGTCGACCTGAAAACTTGTTCGGAGATTATAGCACTACCTTGGGTAATAATCTATGCTAAATTTCGTGAAGATACCTTGCCTCTTGCGGTCAGTGTGTTTGACAGCAATATGTTATAGTTGTCCGATATCGGTGGTCCTGACAAATGAATGGGTATTTCTTAATCGACTCAGTTGGTCACGCTGATCATTTATACATATATCTATACTAATATTATAAATGCGAAAGTCCGTTTGTTTGTTACGCAAAAACTACTTAACCGATCATCATGAAACTTTGTACACATAATCTTGGAGGTGTCAGAATGAACATAGGATAATTTTTATTAAAAAATCTATACATTTTTTACGGATTATTAAAAAAAATTATTTTGGGGGATTATATATGTTTGTAAAATAAATTTGAAAATTTTCAATTTTGAAAAAAAAAAGGGAGATATGATTGTTTCTCGAAAAATTTAATTATGAAAGAAAACAAAAATGTATAAAAAACGTAAATCAGAGAAATAACACCAATATTATTAGTTACTCTCATATACTGTAAAAATGCCTCGAAAGCGGCAATCTGCGCTACCAAGAAATTCTTCGTCGGTCTGTAAAGCTAAAGTTGCACGAAATCAAGAATCTGAAGTTCACGCAGAGCTGAGAAGACAACAGCAAGCAGAGCGACAACGTGTTTTGAGAGCAGCTGAAACTTCTCATCAGACACGAGAACGTTCAGAAAGACATGCTAAGCAGCAGGATGCTAGAAGAGCGACGGAAACGCAAGAACACTTGCAGGCAAGAAGAATTCATGATGCAGAAGTAAGGACCACGCGTCGTCGAAATTTCATGACTAAGGATTGGTCTGTATTTAATGGTACTGGTTTTCAATATGATCATGATATGATTAGTTGAGTATTTTAATCATCCCTTAATTGTTATTGGATAAAAAATATCAGTATTGTGATGCTTTTAAATGGAAAGATGAAACTGCTGGAATGTGCTGCAGCACTGGTAAAGTTTCACTTAGATTACTTGGTGAACCAGAAGAACTTTTAAAAACTTTACTGTGTACTGTCACAGATGAGTCAAAACGAATTTTAAGTAAAATAAGGAAGTATAATTCTGGCTTTAAAATGACATCCTTCGGAGTTGATAGAGTGATAAGAATGCCTAGATTTTCACCAACCTTTACTGTACAAGGACAAATATATTATCAAATTGGATCACTATTTCCAGGAATTTTTTTGCAGGTGTACTTTATGGGTGATGAACATCGTCGTGAAGTAAATCGTCGTTGCCAGTATATAGATGGAGTAGAAAGAGAAACATTATTAAAAATTAAACGAATGTTACACAGTCACAATGATTTGGTGAAGATTTTTAAAAGTGCGATAGATAACTAACAAATAATTACAAAGTTGTCATTCATGCTGATCGAACTCCACGTGGTGAACATGAAAGGCGTTATAATGCACCGATGGTCAATGAAGTTGCTGTTTTGGTTACTGGTGACCCGTGCTCACCTCGAGACATAGTGTTACGAGCACATGATAATGCGTTAAAGCGCGTAGCTGATACTCATAAATTTTATGACGCTTTGCAGTATCCATTAATTTTCAGTAAAGGTGAATCAAGATTATTATTTCAATATTTCAGTCATCAATCCGACAACGAACGAGCCAATTCCAAATAAAAAAGTTTCCTGTATGGACTATGCGTATTATATGATGCATCGAGAGCATGGCTTCAATCTTCTTCTGCGTACAAGGCATCTCTTCAATCAATTTTTAGTAGATATGTGTATTAAAGTAGAGAGTGAACGTCTTCGTTACATTTCTCTAAATCAGAAAAAATTACGAGCTGAAAATTACATACATCTACAAGATGCGATTAACGCAAATGGCAATATTAGACCTAATGACATTGGCAAAATGGTTATTCTGCCGTCCACTTTTGTGAACAATCCCCGTTATCTGCATGAGTACACTCAAGACGCATTTACTTATGTACGAACTTATGGAAGGCCTGACCTCTTCGTAACTTTTACCTGTAATCCTTCGTGGCAGAATGTAACTCAAGAACTTATGCCTGGTCAAAAAGCAACTGATCGTCACGATATATATCGCGTATGTCGTTTAAATGTTCAGAAGTTAATGAACGTGGTGACTAAAGGAAAAATATTTGGAGACGTCGAGTGCCATATGTACTCCATTGAATGGCAAAAACGAGGTTTACCACATGTGCAAATATTGATTTGGTTAAAACAGAAGCTACTTCCTAATCAAATAGACAAAATAATTAGCGCTGAAATTCCAGATATAGAAGAAGATAAAAATCTGTACTACACGGTTATTAAAAACATGTTTTCCGTCAAGCTTAGCTTTGCCGTAACTATAAACAAAGCACAAGGACAAACAGTACAGGTGGCAGGAGTGCATTTAGAAAAGTCATACTTTTCACATGGTCAATTATATGTAGCCTGTTCGCGTGTATCAAATGCCCGGAATTTACACATATTTGCACCCAACGGAAAAAAGTATAATATAGTTTATAAAAATTTCCTTGTTACATTTCAAAATTATTTATTTTCGGTATAGTGAAATATATTTTAATCTTTGTTGTATTTCTTCAATAAAGTATATTTTAAAATTTGAAAATTCATTGCATTTAGTAAGTTTTTCAAGTAGTCTATTCTTTCTATTGATCCGTTTCTACTATAATGATATCTGATACTTATTTGATGGATTCGATGCGAGCGAAGCCACGAGTAAAAGCTAGTATACTATATACTCTCCAACGTTTCCTTTTGGAAAACTTAATATACCCAGTTTATTGAAAACTAATTTGAATACATAACTAACTATGTCATATTTTTAGCTTGTAATCGCACTTATACAAAACTCAGCGGACTTATTGATTTCGAAGCAAATAGGGAATTAAATCAAACCTGCTTCCAAAATATTGTTTTGCCAGATAGTTTCATCATTAACTTGTATGTGCTCGTAATTTCTTCCCATTTTATGGAAAGCAATTGCTCTACTCCTAATTACCAGGTAAATATTCTGTTATATATATATTTATAAAAACTTGTATTATAATAAATTACTAATTTTTGTTTAGATAACTGACACCTCAGTTAATAAAACTATACGGACTCGATGTATCTCCTATTTTTACGATGAACACCTTCAAACAAACTCTAGCGCAATTCGCATATATACTAGAAACTTTGATAATTTAAATATATTTTACTTCGCCAGTAAAAAATTTTCCGGCGTAGGTTGCGGCGGTGAGATACACACAACGAGCGGTGATATTTCGAGCCCTTCTTATGAGCATCGAAACTTCTCTGAGTGCCGTTGGGATATAAGTGTTCCTGAACCAAGTCGAGTGGAAATATATTTTAAAAGTACGTACAAGTATGTCTATATGCAAATAAAAGTTAAACTAACTCATGGCTTATGTCTATATGCAAACAAAAGTTAAACTAACCCAAGGCTTATGTAGTTTTACAAATAAGCATAAAAATAATATCGTATACACCGAAGGAACTATTTTCCACTTCTAGCAAGAATATTTATCCAGTTCCTGCTATATCCACAATTCTACCATTTTTACAATCATCTGAACTTGTTGTGATTACTGAAATTACGTAACAATACAGTATTTATAGAACGTTTACCAAAGCGATATCCTACGGCAAAGCCGTGTACTCAAATTCTGGATGCTAATCACTCAGGACCGCCGAGATAAAACCGGGTCCAGGGTTAAAAAGGTGGGGTTCCTACCTAATGAAATGTTTCAAATACTTTATAAAATTTGTTAACTATCTCCCCACTTACTACTTCAAAGTATTTAAGAATAAGTCAAATGCGACGGGTGTTTAATGCTCTCATCGCATCTGTATTCAATTTGCTTTCTTGTATATGTTGGGTAAAACAAATTTGTTTTGTACGACTTTGAAAATCATTAATGTACATATATAGAATCTCAGTCAAAAATATTTTTCCAGTTAATACCGGAATATATGAATATAGGGATGGCAAAACTTGACAGTTAATAGGAAGACAGAAACATTTCATTCAAACTTTTATTTATCGATCTAACTAATGAAAAACGATTCTTTTGAAATCTGTTGACTATCATGATTAAGTTTTTGACTTTTCGAGTTTTGGCGTCAATGAATGCGTCGATAATAGTCTGAAAAACCAACTTCTTGGCTAAATCTATTTCTCTGGGCACAGCGTAGCTAATCCTGAAATCATGTCCTGTGACGAACACGATCGAAACAAAATGTTGATCCTCGCTAAAGCACTAAACGAAAGTTCACACTTGAAACATAAACGGGTAAAGTGCAAAATATTCTCAAAGCGATGCAAATATTTGTGAAAGGTTTTCCTAATTTTCGACCATTGATGGCATTCAATAAGTTGTATAGAGTAAGACGAGTTTCAAAATTCGCATCATAGACGTGTCTGAGGTGAATAGCTTTTCTGCAGCTGCGTTGAGTTCATCTTCTTTCATATCATGGACCACAACAACAACGCTGTCAAGTGTGACGAAGAAAGTGTTTCTTTTAAATTCAATTTCTTCTTTACTGCAATTTTGATCCATTCAGATCCAGGAGAAGACGATAATTTCCGCTATTATCGGCAAAGTTGCACGATCTTTATTGATTGCCTCAACACATTTTACTACATTATTTATTTATTAGCAAACAACAGAATTTATAGCAAAGACTGCAACAGACCCGATTTTACATTGATATTTCTTTCGAGTGTTGCTAAGGATTCTACGGATACGATAACACCGCGACCGAAATTCAGTTTTTCATAAGAGCGTTCAGAAAAAGTCCATCTGCTTATACGGCATACAGCAAACCACCTTGTGTCCAATACAAATTTTCTCAGGTATTTAATTCTATTTCCACCAGCTCGGTGGCATATCTTAAGAAAGCTCTTAAATGTTTAGGCATTTATCTCCCCACAACTAGGGAGACGGTAGGAGTACTGAGGGTACAGAAGTCATTGGATCTCTTACTATCAATCTTGGGCCAAGAGGATTTTGGAACAGCGCATGAACCGATGGTAGCCCAGCGCTAGCCAAGTTCCCACGATGCCCACTTTCCAGTAGTAGAACACACGAGGAGAAGTGAGCACCGACCCGTTCAAATTCCACTGATGGCGGTGGTAGGGGGGGGCCGTTCCTTGACAGCTCGTCAGCTTTACAGTTACCTGCGATCCCGTTGGGTCCTGGCACCCATACTAATCTTAACACAAATTGATTCGATGCCATTGATAACGATGTTATTCCTTATTACATCCCTGAACTCATGGTTAGTGAGATTAGTGAGCTCAAGGATAGTATCGAGCCACCAGAGCAGCAACCGCGGCTTAATTTCATAGAGAGTTCCTGACAATACAACCCATCACCAACCTTTCGCCTAAGGTTTGGTCCATCCACAGTGGTTAATGGCGAGGCCACTTTCGGCCACCCAATTTGTTCCGACGCTGAGATACCCTTGCGTCAACTAGTACACGGTACTCAAGAACTTTCCTTTTCCTATTATTCCTATCAATGCCAAATAGGTTGGCTGAAGTTATGAAATTCGAAATTTCTGACTACCAAAATCTTACCACGTATAATAAAAATTTGTTTGAAAATTTTACTTTTTGTAAATTTCATAGAAGTTTTTAAGTGCTGATTTAATAAAATAAATTGGCAAAAATTCATACAATGTTATTATATTATATATCCATGGGAGTTTAAATAACAAATTATATGTAAATATACCTTTTACCAAAAATCGAATCAAAAACATTTTTTTTAACTTCAAAATAAGGATTCTAAAATAAAGGTCGACAAATGAAAGTATGAAATTGCAAAAAATTCAAAAGAATGTTCATCTCTATGAAAAATTAATGCAAGTTTGTGTAAAAATATCGCACTCTAGACTCAAATTAAATATTACTTTCGTTCTGATAATGATGTTGAAAATTCAATATGAAGAATTTCAAAATGCAATGAAATGTCGTCTCTTATCTCTCTTTCTATTTTACAACATTTGCGTAGTAGCCATTTTCATATTCTAGAAAATTCATTCATTCTTCATTTTTAAAAGAAGGAATATACGATATAATTATTTTAAACAAATTAAATTTTTTTTAATATGTAAAATATTTTCATAATTTTTCACACATTTCTAATAATTTTTTTTACCATTTCCAGCGTTTGACATGGGTTCAAAGGTAAACTGTGACTTGGATTATGTAAATGTCATTGAAATTTCATCCGATGGAGAAGAGAAAGTAGCGATAAGTATATGCGCAAACCAGTACATGAATCGGTTCGTTTCAAAAACAAACAGAATTGCGGTTGTTTCCAAAAAATCACCAAACTTTAATGGAAATGGATGGACTTTAAACTTCCGCAAGATAGCTAACTAATTAATTATTGTGAAATTTTTATAAATAATTTTAATAAAATAAGTATTTAATTATCACAGCCGCAGAACTATATTATGAAATAACCAAAAAAGTTCGTGCTTGTTATTATTGAACATATGTTTTTTAATATAATAAATATAGTTTTAAAAATTAAAAAACACGCTTTTAACCCACTTCAAACTATGATAGGTACTGGTACAGTAGCGAAGGAATCAGACACTCAAAACAAACCAAGTTTTTTAGCACCCCGTGATACAGTGTAAAAAAAAGTGAAATCCGACCACGCCCGCTCCCATATAACGGATATGTTTATAACTACTAATAGTAGGTTAACTCAATGTTAGAATTGGAATGGACAATGGGCGTGACACCGAACACAATAAGGTGAAGTCCTATATCTCAGGAATACGACCAATTTCAACCAAATCTTACGATTAAAACCGTATATCTTTAAGTTATGTTGTCCAAATGGGTGTCATCAAACTAAAACCATGGCTACTGGCCATATAAAACAATTTTATATTCCAGTGGAGATTTATTTATCCCCAATATAATGATTTTCAATTGTCTGGTTGACCTTTTCCTGATATGTCCATTAGCTTAAATTTAGTCCCTTTGTGTTGAACTTTAAATTACATTTGTGTAAGTGTGCCTTAATTCCTAACGTTTTATTCAACAGTAAAGGCATGATCACATTTCAAATTATATTATACTGTCCCCTCTATCTTATTTTCATTCTGCATTGCATTCATCTATAGATATTGGTAGGTATGTTCCGATGTGTGTACATGAATATTTCTGAGAAGAAAAAAAGTTTCCTTGTATTCATAATTAGTCGCCTTCATATGAATGGAAATGAGTCAAACCCCGTCAAGTGGACCCTGAAAATTTACTAAATCACCGATTTTGAAAATTAGCACTTCATTAGATGAGGGTCGAGGCGCACACCTGGTGATGTGAATATTTCACCAAAATTCATTATTTTGTTAATGTTATTGATGGTTTGGATTTTAGAGCACAATAAAATTTTAAAATTATTTTCTCATAAACTACTGCAGATAAATCGATGCAATTTTATGAGTTCAAAGAAAAATGTTCGGACTATAATATATATTTCTTCACGATCAATTTGTTTAAATAATAATATTTTACATAAATTGTAGTTAAACAATAGTAAATTTTATGAGTTCTTCATTTTTCTCAGCATTCCTAGTATTTTTTCACCGAAACCATATTGAAATGAGCACAACTTTTTATCAATACACGAATTGTTGGAGAGGTGTTCGAAACAGATAGTTTAAAAAATAACACAAAATCCAATTTTTTTAAAGCTGAGTTTATTGCAATTTATGAATGTTTGAGCTATGAAGCTCGAAGATGTGCTCTTAGTCCTTTAATTCACGAGCTAACATCCCTTCTCGTCGATATTCGTTATTTTCATCAAGTCTCGAAGAAATCACTATTTCTTGAACATTGGAGCATTTATTTCGCGAATGTGACCAAATTAGTAATTTTTTTTAAATAGCAGCATAAGGATCTTAATTAGTAAGTATTTGTTAGTATTATAGTTTTATGCCTAAATAACGTTCAAAACGCCATAATGAAGTCAAGCATGCTCACACTCAAGCACGCACAATAATGTAAAATATATCCATACGTATGCGTATACATATGTAAGGATATGTGTGTAAGTGCAAAAAAAAATCAGCATGTGCATCCCAAATGGAGCTAAGTATTGGCGCGGATCTTCAGAAACCACACATAGCGGCTGTGGTCCTTCTACCTGACTAATCCGCTTATCAAATTTCAGAAGAATGAACATACAAAGGGTTTCTTCACGATCGCAATCAAAAAAGATGCAGCAAGCAGTAGAGAAGCAGAAAGAAGCAAAGGTGCATCCGCCATTTATTTGCCTTCAACCTAATCCTACTTGACAAGAGTTGGAGTGAGTGTTTCATTGCTTCTGTGTACAACTTATTTTTTACTCTTACTTACATACATACATACATATTTAGTGTGTAGCTGTTATACATACATGCATTCACGTTGTAGCATTGTCTCATATGTCAAGGCTCTTGTAAATATAACACAAATGGTAACAAGTAAGGAAGGCTGATTTTCGGGTGTACGCGAACAATTTATACTCTAGCAAATTTTAAAAATCAAAGGCGTCGTAATACTTTTTGATGTTGGAAAATTTTTTTATTAAAATTATAAATTATAAAAATTTATATTAAGTAGTAAAACGGTTTAAATTATTGTTCGACGAAATCGTGAATTGATTACAACCAAATTTGGCATCATATTACTTTATTTGAGCTCATTTAGTTTGATTACTATATTTTACTTCCCCTCAGCGAAAATAATACTAAAATCATCCTCAAACGAGATATATGTGATATAATATAAAGAGGCTAAATTTAATATATTGAGTTTATGTGAAAAATTTCAATCAAAGATCAAGATCGGAAGTCATTATAAGTATTAGGGATATAAGGTTTAGACCAAGACCAATTTCATTTATGTATATTGAGCGCCAAACCACTAAAATAATTTTATAACTCTTAGGAAAACGTGTCCACTAAATTTCAAGAAAATATCACTCATTTTGACCAACCTAAATGGTTTAAAGTCAGGTGGAAACTGGGAAATCATTATATAGCATATATTGGGGACAGAGCAATTGAATGCATTAATTTTTGACATTACTCAGGTATACTCGTATCACACAATTTTATAAATATATAAATATAAACATTCGAGTATGTGTATATGGAGTAAAGTCAACCGGACGTTTCAAAATCTTGAATATAAGTATAAGGGGCTAAAGCAAGTTTTCGCCCGATTTTGTCCATTTGAGGCACAAAATATTCATTAAAATAACTAGCACACTGTCCTATATACCACTTATGTGGAATAAAGTCAACTGGGAGTCCGAAAATCTTTATATTAGGTATATGGGGGCTACGAAAAGAATTAGTCCGATTCATCCCATTTTTGACACAACGGTAGATTATTATCAAAGAAACATTTTCCCCGAATTTCAATAATATACCTTACAGATTCACAGATATTTTAGACAAAAAGCAGCCATACGCACTAGGGTCCACATATTTGGCATCTGGGTTCTTAAAAAGACATAGTCCGATTTTTGTGCAAATATTATCCGGATAGATCGACTGATTCTTGATTTATATACTAAAATGTAAAAAAATCTGAAGGACTTTAAAATTGGGTTATATGGGAAGGAGGCGTAGTTTTTGTCAGATTTTGCTTATTTTTACACTGTAATCTAGGAATGTCGGGAAAATACTACATACCGAATTTGGTTGAAATCGATGCAGTACGTCCCAAGATAAGGAATTTCATCTAAATATGGGCGATGCCCAGTTCGTCGTCCAGATTTGGCAGTGGCTTCTATACGGCCCTCTCGTAACATCTCGGGTGTAAAATTTGATGTCTCTGAAGCATTTAACTACTGATTTATCGCGCTTTTAGAAGTTTTTAGCAAAACTTTTATATGGGAAGGGGACGGGGTTATAATCCGATTTCATCCATTTCAGCACTATCGGTAGGGGACTAAAAATAATTGTTCTTAGCGAATTTTTGTAGCCTTAATAGTTTAGGGGATATGTACATTAGCGAGTCGGGCCACGCACATTTTTTCAAAATTTTTAATACTGATCAAATGAACGTCAGCACCAACTAAAATATAATACAATTATTTAAAAACTTGGTCAAATAACCTTAATGACTTTAATGCTTTTATTTTGGCCCTACTCTCCAACAGGAGTTAAAGGATATTGTACATATAATTGGATGAAAAGAAAATAACTAGAAGTTTTGAACAGTATTTTGGTTTTATTTAATACTAATAATTTATATTCACAATTCCGCACTGTTAGAATATAGGTAACTAATAATCGTTCATCGCCGAGTTACAGTTTGATATTAATTTATACATACTAAATACACATCGATATTGTTATTTACTTATATAAAGTACTGCTAAGACATATCACAGTTTGGTTTGGCATACTAAACATTAAAGTTTGTAGTATGCCATACAGTTATGTATAAGTAACTACTTTATATATGTATGTACTTATCTTAAAATATGAAAGACTCACAACTTTAATCACGAACTCTAACATCAACGTTACACACATTATTGCTTAAATACGAGTATTGGTTAAGGTATACAACATTATTTTAAGGGCTATTCCTTTCATTGTCACTTAAATATTGCTTTATCATTACAGTTATTATCTTTTACCTTATTTTTCTTTAATTTAGTATTAAAGCTAAAATTAGGAATATCATTATGAAACTACCATCAAACAATCGCCTTGTAGATGACGCAAAAGTTTCTTCTCTACTCAATGCTAATGTCTCACTAAATGAGCTTCGGCTATTACGCACAGACAATTCAACTAAATCGTTGTTTGAGACATTGTTTACAATATATGTGTCATGTTCTTCAAATTTTTTTATACTATGTGCTCGTTGGCTGCAAAGATTTGGTAGGTCATAAGTATCGGTTATATTAGTTGGCCAACTAGTTAAAGTATAAGAACCCTATAAAGAAAAAAATACACGTTTAACATATATATTGACGCATAAATAATATAATAATAACTACCTTAGGCATGGAATTATCAATTTCGCATACAGATTTAAAGGCACCATTCAGTGTTATATCCTGAAAGGCTTTAAACTGACTGTCCCAGTCGTATGTTAATAACCGTTCTTCCAGAGTCATGCCTTTTAATTCCACTGGCAATGATATAACCACAGGATCAGAGTTTCTGTTGAACCAATCATACTCTTCAACTATCTAACAATGTAATTAGCGAAAATAAAAGACTTACGCATTTAAATATTCAATTCCTAGAGAGTGTAAAACAGTCGACAAACTTGGGGAGGAATGACATGATGTAAAATTATTTTGTCTTGGATAATACAGCACAAAAATCATACAACTTTCTTCCTTAATAGATGGTCCACCTGAGATATTATTTAAATTGTTAAATAACATAAAAAGACCAAAACAAAATTATATATGTACCTAAAGTGATGGCACGACGAGAGGATGTATCGTAAACACATTCAGCGATTAATCGATCGCCTGGAAGAGAGATCGTAACCTGCCGTAACCGTTGGAATGCTTGATATTTCGGATCAATATTGCTGTCAGAAACAATGGGGGCAAGCTCTCGCGTCTTTCGTATCTATAAATGCATCCATAGTACAAACAGTCTTAACACTTTAAGAAAACTACCATATTTACATACATACTGTATACAAATATATAGTTAGTTATCAATGCTTTTTACCTGACGTAGTTTAACTTCTACACCTATCTGGTGTGTTCGCGACATGGTCGCAAAGATATTAATACCCTCAGTTGGAAATAAAGACTCTGTGCACTGCTCTATGCAATGACCTTGGGAAACAACGCGTTTTTGACTCGGAGGAATAATATGATGCCAGTTTGGTTCCATCCCTAAAAAATAAGAGACAGTTTAAATATCATATACATGTCACATTTTTTATTTATATTGTATTCTTACCGATAGACATTAGTCCAGCATCATTCGGTCGCAAATTTTCTGTGACATGCAACATCAACCCTGAACTATCGAACATGTGATTTATTTTGAATTGCTCAAAATCAATATTCAAGTTATTATAATGAGTTTCCATCATAACAAAACGCATATTATTTGTTTCTAAGGGATAGCCAACTTCAGGTGGATACATAAACTCCTAAAATTTAATTTATACATTAGAAAACCATAAAGAGTTCATTCTTTTTTTAGGTTAATTTACAAAATTTCCACGAGACCAAGAAGCTATATATGTATTACATGTGTGTAATAGCTGTGGGCTGCGTATATTATGGCACTGATGCCCTGGTTCATGAGCTAATGCTTCGAGTTCAGGACCGCTTCCCTGGCATTCATACAGCGTAATATATTGTAAATATTGAACACTCCAAGATGATTCGAAAACAGGTTCATACTGTATATGCCAAAATGGAATAATAAAATTTTGCTCACTAAGAGATAACAAATTTTAATTATATAATAAAGTTTCTAAGACTATGTTTACTATATATTATTTAATAGTAATTTTTATTATTTAATACTTACTTTAACAATATGATTTTTTTTCTTCATTATATCCAATTTGAAAAATTTACACCATATAAAAGTTTCATCGTCGTATGGCAACTCTACTTCAGAATTACGGAATTCCAATTTTCGTGTGTTCTCTAAGCTTTGCGAAGGAATGGTACGTTCTGTTAAAACCACTGATCGTGATTGTCGCCAAGCATTTCTTATGTTGGGTAAGGATCCAGGACTTACTAAACCATTCGGTGGATCGTTCTCATCGTATAAAAACATTAAACGCATAGTGTCATTCTACAAAGATTTCATAGTTTTACTAATGAACTTATAATATATGTTTAATAGTGAATCTTTATAACGAATTACTTACTGTAATTGGAATATCATAAACACTGTCGCAGGTATCTAATTTTCGACGAAACCTTATGATTGTATGTGTCGTGTTTTCGTACCCCTTTAGAAGTACGTAATCCTGAGAGGGATCAACTTGAGGTTCTGTAGAGTTTACATTTCTTGAAACATGGCGGTCTTGGAAGAATGTCTGCCCCTTATCCACCCACCCGATAACAACGTCCGCCCCTTCTTGCCTTCCGTTTACAGAAAATCCAAACCCCACGTATCCATGGGTTCGAACTTGTACTTCAAATATGGCATCCTTATCCGTGATTGTCCATAATAAGTGAAAACTATCATCTAAATCTATGATTTGATCCCACGCCATAAAATATGATTTATCAATTCCAAGTGCGGACGTCATCCCACTTATCCTCGAGTCTACTACTTTAAACTGTGAAATACCATAGCTTAGAAACATCCAGCATTGTAACGCTTTTATAACATATATAACCCTTTGTAAATTAACTTGTGCCATTTTCAGAGACTTCAAAAACTTCCAGATACGTTTCTTCTTCTACGAATATTCTATGGAGTATATAGAGAATACCAATTATATAAATGGAAGTTTTATTAACACCTATGTGATATCCTATTAGGTAGCATAGACGTTTAAATTGTAGACAAGGGATTAATTAAGAGTAACACCTCCAGAGAGATAAGTACACTGAAATCAACTTTATAAACATCCCACAGCTTTAAAATTTAGTTATCTTTAAATAACACCGTGCAACTTGGAACGGATATTCGAAACAACGTTTTTAATTACCAAAGAAACACTGGACTACTTTCGAAAAAAGTTCAAGTTTGTTCATATTTCTGAATTGTTGATCATTGATTAAAACCATAGCAAAGCAGTGGTCTTTTATCGTCATAAAATCAATGATAAACGTACTGACTAATAATGTTAGATCACGCTTCACTTTAACATAAATGTCATTATAAAAACAACTTTTGTTTGGATACATTTAAGAGATATAATGAAATATAACCTTAACTTTCATTATATATGGGGCTTAAGCTAGGGGAGGAGGGCTTTCAATTGACAAATAATTGCGTAACTACACTTTCCTGATTCCTGATTTAAAGACATAAGAAGATTTAATGGAGTATTTCCGTAAATTAATCAGTTTTTGCTGTTATTATAACACAATACACAACGTTTAAATATGTATACAATGCAGAAGTTTGAAATAAAGGTGAATTAATTGATCACAACTATGCATACATAAGTATAAATCTATAATAATCCCTAATCTCCTAATTCCATAGTTTGAACTAACCTTATTAGACACCTTATTTCTTAAATAACACAAATATTATAAGTTCGATATTTGCGTACACATATTATTAAAACGATGTCAGTACACCGTGACGTATATCACGAGTCGAAAAATTACTAGTGTATCCTACCGTGATGAACACAATACACCGAGAACAAAGCGTACTTTCTTTTTTCCGAAGGCTGGGCAGTAAGGCTCTTAGACACACGCATCCATATTTGGAAGTTTGGTTGCATATGTACATATGTGTGCATATGTATAAACATTTCTAATTTTCAGTTGTAATATATGAATGAAGCATATCATTTTGAAAGAAATATATTTCACTTTGTAAACATTCACACATACTTACATCTCCATACATGTGAATATGCCGATACTTTTAGTTCAACATGCAAGTCAAGTAAGAGAGAAGAGGTAATAAAAGGTGCAATGATGAAACGTTGCTTAACCATTGCTCTATGCAGCTAAACAAAAATCCAGTGGCGATAGAAGAGCTGCGGAGTAGTAAAAGAAGGTGAGTAAACGTCTGTTAATACACAAAATAGTATTATAATGGCCGCGGTGTCTGTCAGTCTGTATATACGTTAGTCTCTTAGTTTTTGAGATGTCGCAGGCGTTCTTTTCTCTCCAAGCTGATCATTCGGGGATTCATCGATATCGGACCACTATAGCATATGGCTGCCATACAAATTGAATGATCAAAATTAAGTTCTTGTAAGAATTTTTTTTATTTGTGAATTTGATTTAATTGTATAACTGGCTAACTTTGTAAATACATATTCATAAATATCTCGCAATGCCTATCAAAAATGTCTAAATAATTTTGTAATTTTATTATTGCTATTGTAGCATTTCTCAATTATTTGTTTGAGTGCTCCTTAAATATATAAAATGTATGTTATATTCATCATGTAGTATGTATGTATGTACATATGTATGTATAAATATTCTTACGTACATATGTATGTGATGCTTATTTGAACATATCTATGTAAATATGTATGAAGTAGCATAAGTGCTCGCTTGCTATATTAACGCTATTGAATAACTTAATTAATGCATTTTACAGACCCATCAGCGCGCGCGTTGGCTGATTTCGTACATACATGCATTTACAACTTCTGACATAGGTATGTTAAAAAGAACAGATTCTGAAAAGCGTAACCTTACCTAATTCATGCACTACAATGACGCTTTTCAATAGTCCATCGTCAATTCCATTTATATTTCATTAAAACCTGTCGTTTCTTGTATTGAATTAAGTTATATACTTTAAAATTATAATAAATTCACTTATTTACAGAGCAATATTAATAATATCACAACACAATTTTCCGATTTATTTGAGAATAATATCCAAGCAAATCAGTTTCGGGTAGCATTTACAACGTTCTTATATATTTATGTACAAAAAACATAACAATTTCTACTTCTTCACTTCAATCAGCAAAATCACTTCTGTGCGTAAATAGGTACCGCGACAAAACAAACCCCAACCATCAAACAACTTTAATATCTCGCGTTCAAAGAATAACTAAGGCAAAATCAAAAATTCAACTTCTCTTTTCGTTTCGTTTCATTTCCAAACTGTTTCCCAAATTTAAAAGGGCAATAGCGACAAAACGTTAAGGTCGGAACACCAGAGAACGTAAAGTAATAAAAAAGAGATTATAAGAGAGTCTATCTATATATGACAACAGGGGAAAAAATGTTCTGTTAATACTACGGTTGCATAACCTTGGTCAATTTCAAAATGGTAGTAAATTTACACATACATTTTACATATGTATATAAACGCACACTCACACCTTTCTAATAAAAAAGTGAACACAATTTTTTTTTGTTTTTATAAACTTTATACAAAAATTTGCAATGATGTCTACTCGGATAGCAATCAATCAATCAATATTATCAAAGTTTGGTAAAAGGGTAATCAAATCATGAAATTAAGCGTTTGATTAGAAGATCGCACTCTTCAGTCTATACCGTAATAGAAACTTTCAGCAGCTACATCAAAACCTCGATTTGGTCGTCCACCTACATTCACGCTCCGTGAAAAACGGTAAGTATTGAGTACAAGCATTGATTAGCAAGACATTAATCGTCCTTGATATATTTCGAAATAATCATTTATATGTGTACTGCTTGTATACATACCTATGGCGCTGAAGACGACTTTAATAATTTTATGTCTTCTAAGTCAAGTTTCGTTTGGGCAGAAGTTTTTCTAGATAGTAGAAAATGGTTTGGCCGTCGATATCATAAAGTACGTTCATCTTATAAATGCGTCCCAATCGCTCTTAAAAGAAATGTTTGGTGTCGTCTTTTTTCTCTTAATTCGGGAAGTAGGCCTTTAAGCTTCCGGAATACTGCACTATCTTCCATCTTTTTGCGGTCAGGAAAGTGTCAGAGGCTAACAATGCAGGAAACAACACATAGAAGATCAGTATGTATAACGATACACAGGCGGCTATTAGAGCAATAATCTCACATTGTATTATATCAGAGAATGTCCTTACTGCTACCGGAAAGCGGTTGCATATATGTATGTATACTCGGTTCCAGGCTAAAAAAATTCCGGGAAACGAAATAGCTGATGAGATTCCCAAAACTGTCAATCGTCTGGCTACCTAACTAGTACAGGAAACACGTAAGTTGCTAAATACGGTACTTAATGAAATTTCCGAAAAAACTGACAAACGTATCAGGGTGAGATGGAATGCCTTACGGGCATGCACGATCGGCAAGATCATGTACAAGTAAACGGAAGGAAAACAGACATGTTTTATTACTCACATGGTCTTAAATATCTAGGAGCAATTCAAAGGACTAGATGAAGTCTCAAAATTAGATATTAAGTCACTCTTAAGGGCTACATCAACATCGATTTTTAGTTAATTGAACAACTCATTAGGAATATCTCTGAAATTTTCAAGCCGAGCCAAATTTTCAGATATATAAAGCTCGTAGTTACGGTCGACTTAACTCGACCCGACTTTAAACGCGTTTTTCTCACCCTTTTTGAAGTCGGTAGCCAAAATTTCTCGATAATTATTAACCGATCGACTTGAAATTTGAATACATCTTTTAACATGTTTGACTACTGCTTGAACGTAGGATATTTTTTTGATCTTTACAATTCAGTTGAGAGGGTAATACGTGGTCAAATTTAGTGTAAAAATAACTATGATTTGCGAAAACGCAAAAAAAAATTTATTTTCAAATTTTCTCAAAATTCATCCTTCAAGCAGTAGCTATACTACCTACTAAAATAAAACCCTTTATTTTTGATTACTATGAGGACACTTTTCCGACGCTGACGTTAGTAAGGCGCTGTTAACGGCTGAATTTACAATATTTTTAATGTAAAATTTTGTACACGATAATGATATTTATACATATGTATATTTGTTTTATCTATTAACGTTTTGGATGATTTGAGTCATAAGTAAGAAAATGACCCCAAAAAAAATTAATTATTGAAACACTGTTTCCAAAGTAAACCTGCATACATGTAGTGAATATATAATATATCTATTCAGATGTTCACATGCATGCATGGAACGAAATAACTAAAAGTATATTGATTACACATAGAAAATTGATCCATACATAAGTATATTATGTGTATGAAGTGATGTAATTATCTTCATTCAGCCATTTGAAACAGATACCTTTTATGAAGCGGTTTAAATGCACAAAATCTTCAAGGAAGGTGTGCCAAGTGAACATCTGCATCCTGATCGCTTGCAATATTGAAAAGCATATCGTTTACCTTTTTTATGCATTTTCTGAAATGCTGAAACAATGAACCTCTATGTCAGTACGCACGCTTAGGTAAAGGTGCGGTGTCAAAACGATTTAATTTAACTTGTACAGTATAGGTAGTATAATGTAAGTATCCCGGCCACATACGTAGAAATGTACTTACAATTTATACATATAGTATTTACATGAAGGATTCGGATCTCACATTAACGAATATATTTGGCTGGGGCTGTGATGCCTTTTTAGTAGAAGGGGCTTTGAATTGTTTCGCAGTTGTAATCCCACCACAATGTAGGAGGTAGAATACTATTTACCATTGTTCTTTGAACAAAAAGTTAGACAATTTTCAAAGTATTATTAACTGTTGTTTTCCAACGCATCAATTATGTTTGTAGATACAGAAACACTATAAAGCGGTATAAAATAATAAACCTTTACATCCGATCACAAAAATTTGCCAAGTTTAATTTTCCTGTAGTAATGGTTGCTTAGATTTTAACATATTTGCAAGAGCTTTTCTGCACAAATCAGCCGGATTAATAACATTACCGGTCATGCAACAAACTGTAATCTAACAAAGAAACGGCTAAGTTCGGGTGAAACCGAACTTTTGTACTAATGTAAAAGCAGTAAATTTTTGAGGTGTTAACAAAATTTATATTAAAATTGTTGCAAATGAATTGAAAATGCATTATTCGACGCAAACGTGAAGGGAAATTTCATATATTATTAACTTATTGACTCACTTAGTTTCACTAATACAATTGCTTCGTGTCCAATATATGGTATATATAAGGATGGAAGGTATCTCCCTTCCGCTTTTTTGTCTTTTGAATTTCGCGGCTATGTACAAAGCGCTACAGAGCTCGTATCTGGCAACACTATACATAATTTGAAAGGTCTTGACATAACCTACAAAACAACGCTATGCATGATTAGTTTGGATATTGCGTTCAACAGTTATAGACGTGTAAACATGGAGTTCACTAACGCCGAAATTCGCGCTATTTTAAAGTTTTCTTCGTTAAAGGCAAATCCGCTAAGAAACGTTCCGTGAGATTAATGGTGTTTTAGGGGATGGTACTCTATCACTTCAACCGCGAGGAATGGTTTCGACGATTCAGAGCGGTGAAAACGACACCATGGATAAGCCAGCCGGCGGAAGACCTGTGACGACAAATACCGATCAATCATGGAATACATCGAGTTAGACCGGCATATGGCATCTCGTGACATCGCCCAAGAGATGGAGTTAGTCACCAAACCATTTTGAACCATATGCAGAAGGCTGGATACAAAAAAGTTTGATGTTTTGGGTGCCGCATAGTTTGTCGCAAAAAAAAACTTCTGGACCGAATCAACGCCTGCGATATGCTGCTGAAACGGAACGACCTCATCCCATTCTTAAAGCGGATGGTGACTGGCGACGAAAAATGGATCACATACGACAATATCAAGCGAAAATGGTCGTGGTCGAAGGCCGGTGAATCGTCCCAAACAGTGGCCAAGCCGGGATTGACGGCCAGGAAGGTTTTGCTGTGTGTTTGGTGGATTGGAAGGAATAATCCACTATGAGCTGCTCCCATATGTCAGACGCTTAATTCCACCATCTACTGCGAACAACTGGACGCTTGAAGCAGCGATCGACCAGAAGCGTCCAGAATGGCCAACAGGAAGGATGTAGTGTTCCACCAGGACAACGCCAGACCACACACTTCGTTGATGACTCGTCAGAAGCTACGGGAGCTCGGATGGGAGGTTTTATCGCGATCCACCATATAGCCCGGACGTAGCCGCAAGTGATTACACCTGTTCTGTCCATGGCGAATGCCCTTGGTGGTGTGAAGTTGAACTCAAAGAGGCTTGTGAAAGTGGCTGTCCGAGTTCTTCGCAAATAAGGAGGGGGCTTCTACGAGGAAGGTATTATGAAGTTGCCGTCTAGATGGAAACAGATCATCGAACAAAACGGCGCATATTTTTAACTAATCCGATCACTGTAACACTTTTTATAAAGCATTGAATGAAGAGCAAAAAAGCGAAAGGGAGATACCTTCCAACCATATTATATTAAGGTAACTAATTAACTCAAATGAGTTATATACATGTATATATACGGTGATCATTTCCACTGTTATTGAAAAACATCTGCCCTGAGTATTTTTCGAAACTGGAAAATGTAATGTATTTTTCTCAGTACCTTTGTCCTCTGAAATTAAAGAAAATCATGTGAGGTAGTTAAATTACAGAAAAAATTTTGGGATTGCAAAAAGCAAAAGCTTTGAAAAGGCAGAAATTGGCTAAGATCAGCCGCTGGTTAATAGAAATGTATATCCCTAACATGTTTCACTTATAAAACATTATTATTTATATTATTATATATTACATTTAAGTGTGAAGACAGATCATGTTCGCTTGTAGCGTTACAATAATATATATAATATCTATCATTCAGTTTTCCTTCGGTAAAAGTTCCTAAACAATGAGTAATTTTTGTAATCATTATAATTAGTATTCAGAAATATTCCCCTATAATTTCACTTAAATACATCAGAATGTTATTAATTTATATATATACCATATTTGTGTATAATAAAATAAACTACTGCTGGATATATCGCAATTCATGTTACACTTTTTGAGTGTGGTGATCGATAAGAAAACAAATTGTTTTCTTTTTTTGAATAAATGAGAAGTTAATATTGTTTAAAATATTTTTATTATCTTACAATACATGTAGGTTATTAAGGAATTTTTAACATTGAAAGTATAGGTTTATGGTAATTGAAATAAGAAACATAAGTTTGAGACTTGATATCCTCTAAATATCTAGAAAATACCGCGTCAATGGTGGTCAAATATTTTGTTGTGGTTTCTTGTGGATCATTATTCATTTTCAAATTCAATTTTTTCGAATGTAAAGTTATCAACCGTTTTGATATATTATCAGCGAAGTTGATGTTGAAATCGCCAGCCAAGATAAGTGGAAATTTAGTACCATTGATAATCCGATTGAAATACCTATTTGCAATTGTATTGTTCTAGTCAAACGAGATACTGTTCCTAAAGGTGGGGAAGTAATTTACCAAAATAATAATAATTTTATTAATATAATATTATGACTCCAACTATTGAATAATGTATTTGTTATTAAATTCAATATTTTTATTTGCCATTAAAAAAATTGTATCTTAAACAATATTATTTTTGAATCCCCCTGCTCTTCAATTTATTTGTTCCGCTAGAGATATACGAAAATACGCCTACAAGTATGCAAACATTTTGCACATACTTTGTGGTCGTGTTAGGTTTATTTCCGTTACGAAATTTCTTGATTCGGTTGCCGCGCTGAAAGCTTGCGATAAAAGCTATGCAATAGCTTAAGAAAATTTATGTATATAGAGTACTCACTAATTTTCTTTCACTATTTTTTCATCATTTTCTTCGCTAATAAATGCATTTTTTTAATTACATTTAAAACCCTTTTACACAAATTTTACGCGTACTCCCCGAACATTTTCGCGACGATGGCAAAAGCTAAAAATCATAAAATGAACAACTTTCTGATGTTCCTTCTGGAAGGGAAAGTGTCAATCCCACAAACCCGGAAACACAGAAAAAGAAAAAATGGCAACATAGTTCTTGTCAATTTAAAATATTTTGCCATTCTAAAATATTTTTCAAGGCGATATACATATATGCATGCTCATACATAAACATTTCGCATGCATCAATTAGTGGACATATTTACATACATATAATATGTTGCATGTAGACAGATATACAAACATTATGCGTGTTAAGTTTATTTTCGTTACGGAGTTTCTTGAATCGGACGCCGCGCTCAAGGCCCGCAATAGAAGCTATGCAAAAGCTTAAAAATTACAAAAATATTTGCCTGCAACATCATTCTATTCATTTCACTAAAACTTGTTCACTATAAACTAATAAATTAAGTATATTTCACGAATTAAAAACGTGTTTACGTTTTTGTTTACAATTTACAGCTTTTTTAGTACTAAATGTCATCTTTCTAACGCCATTCAA